GGGGAGTGAAGGACAGGGAAAGAGAGAACGGAGGGAGAGGACAGGATCTGCGTTAAAAAGAAAATCCTCGAAGGAGGAGAAAATATTTCCATAAAATCCGCGGAGACGATGCCTGCGAAGAAACGCCAATGTTAGTTCTCGTTCAGTGGATTCGCTGGAATCCACCGAAAATCCGTCCTCGCGGTTTGTCGTAGCCGGTCTCAGACATCGACGCGATTTCGTTCTGCCGTAAAATATAACTTTTCCATAGACTCGAGGAGCTTCGCGAGTACGCGAGCTTACCTTTCAAGATTTCCGAGCGTAACAACGAAACGCGTAACGTCAAATTAATTTCTGTTTCTTAGGCTGTTGTGTACATTTATTAAAATATCATTATAGTCACAACAAGAAATGTTAATTTTCAGTCGAAAGATCTCGCGTCTCTGACAGTACCTTCCTCAACTTGAGAATATAACGGATATATTTTACGTAGTCGTCATGAAGAATATTCGTGAGAACAATTTTAAATATTGCTACGATTACAACACATAACTCCGAGCCGAGAAAAATGCTAATTGATTAATATTCATTAAATATAGGCAGCTATCCGATAGTTTAAAGCGACCGTTACGTCAACGTACACTGCGAAAACTTGTTCTCCGCTTACGCATTCGCTCTGATTACGCTACGTGCTACGCAAATCTTCGCTCGTGAGAGGATTAACCCCGAGGCTGATGTCGAAAACAGATAATATGGATAGCAAGCTCAGACAATAATAATACTCAATGTTACAGAGGGTGAGAGTTTTCGTGGTTGTTATTTTCAATGGTAGAGAGAAAGAGAGAGAGAGAGAGAGAGAGTGCGGTTGCTCAATTGCAATAACAAAAGTAATTCCGTATCGAATTAATTGTACTCTAATTCCCACTTGCCTCGTAGAAAAACTCGTTGCATAGCAGTGTGTACAGATCAAATACTGTGATAATTAAACATTTTATAATTAAACAATCACATATCTGGAAAACAGGTTTACATTGTAACTGTAGTTATAAAAACCTGCCCGTCATAAAGAATACGACTGATAAATAAATATTGATGAGAAGTAAATATAAACAAGGTGCTTGATCGCAACGTATAAATTATTTGCAACATAAAAAATCGTGAATTCTCTTATCCTGAAATGATATACGTTATGAAACGTGACAAAATATTATCGCGATTTTCCTATCGATACCGCAAAACAACGTTCGAGACTTTCTCCATCGGCCATGGCACAAATAGAAATCCGGCTGCTGCATACGTAACAATTCCAGTCTTTCGGACAAACGACGTGTCGTCGAGCGTTTACTGGTCGCGCGTCGAAATCAGGAAGCCGGAAATGACAGCGGCTGAGGGATTCGAGGAGGTGAGCGGAAGGAGAGAGAGAGAGAGAGAGAGAAAGGGCCGCGGGGTATCGCCATAAGGGAGACTCGCTGACGGCGGTAAGATTGATTGGAGTCACGGGATGGAAAATTAACGGTCTAGCCTGGATGGTCCAGGGTTGGGTAAAAGGTGCAGGAAGGCGCCGCAGTCGAGGGATGGCGCCGTGACAGCCGCCGCATACTAATTCCCCACCTCTCTTCGCCCCTTCCTCGATCTCACCCCTTCTCATCCTTTCTCGTCCCCGTGGCACCTACGAGCTGTTTTAGCTACCCTTAACCGCGCGTATCCACTCCCTCCCGTTCGAGCAAACGCGCCGAAGAGACGTCTTCCTGCCGGACACCATCGGCTGTTTTGTCCTCATCATCGCCGTCTGGGAATACAGATATGGACGAAATCGCAATTACGGTCTTACCGCACTCACAAACTTTCAATAGTCGGAATTATCGATTTACCCCTAAACTCGATCGAAAAGTGAGAGAGAATTTCACGGGACTCAGACACATACGGAAACATTTCTGCGCTTCTTTTGTGTCACGTATCGGACACGACGCGCGGCAACACGTCGACAACGAGATGGAAGCCAGCGAGGTCGGTAATCCCGCAGGATATCAACGTGGATCGTCGCGACATCCGCCTTGAGACCCGCTTGGTTGGCGTATTAATGGGTCGATGCGTTATAGGACGTGTTAATGCGACGAACCGTGCGCAGATAATTATCAAAGAGGACTTTGACTCCCGCGGCCGAGAAGAGACAAGCAGACAAGGCCCAAGATGCATAACGGCGAGGTGTTAATATGACTTGTATATCTAGCCCTATCGCTAATTGGATCAAATGGTCGACCGACCGTCTTTGATCGATATGTTTAGTGAGGGATTTCGTCACGAGTAATTACAGACGGTGTAGCGGTGGCAGCTGCTGACAAAAGCGTTGGCGCGAGGACGTCGGCCCCCGCCATTGTCTCGCGGAATTGGGTTACGCGATCGTGACCAACGAAGCTGGCAATTTCCTGCTTGCTATCGTGCTCCGCATCGAGATTCGATGATGCCTACGGCAAATTATTTCCTACGGATCTGTCATCGATTTGGTTAATGATCGCGGTGCAACCGCGATAATGACGGCATTCATTGACGATTCACGACCTCAGGTCTAACGCGTGCTGTTTTGATACTTACGATTGTTGATCTACGATATCGAACACGTTTAGCTTAATTGCATAATGCGATGCGCAAGATAAAAACACGATGTATTACATAGTGAATTCGAGAATTTCTAACGAAACTGTATTCCTAACATATTTGCAAATAGTCTCGGGAATTTTCAAAATTCAGTTTTAAAGACACGTTGCATCATTAATTTTTAATTTTGTAACATATCGTATATCTCAGGTCAATTTTAATATCAACTAATATTATTTTTATCTAATACACCTGGACATTACAGAAATAAATTCGTCGATATCCCGGTTGTATGTAATTTATATTACGCTAACAATTATTTATTCCTGCAATGAATAATATTGATGTTAAACAATATTGGATCATCTTGCATACTTGTTGTAGTAGTCTGTATTAGAAGAAATTAGATGGCAGACAGATGAGCGAGAAAGGGGGAAACGAAGCATTAATGATGTACCGACGAAAAAGAATGATGCTGTTTTACGCTAATTAATACCCTTTAAAGTCGTAATGAATTCTCTTCGGCTATCTCTTCGACTATGCGAATTTGAAATGGTGGTCATAGCCGGTGGTGGTATGAACTTTATAAAAATAAGCTGCGATCCGTTTATTTTATATTTCTGCGAAATTTTATATTCACAAGTTTTATTAAAAAATTGTAACTAAAACAAATAACATCAGAATTTGTCGGAGATAAAATTTCTTTGTTTATACAAATACCTAAAATGTACTTTGATAATTGATACTCAGCCATTCAGAATTATAACATCAATAGCTTTCCCGTTCTTCTTTTCTCTCTCTCTCTCTCTCTCTTTCTCTCTCTTTCTGCCTTTCAGCAGTAATATATAAAAGTGGTAAATTGTATACACCGTATTATATTTATATTCGTAAAAATGAATATATTGTCCTGGTAATTGCTGTGTAATGGAGGATGACAATTTTTAACAATCGTCATTTGTTTTGATCTGATAGAATTATCGAAATACTGCTTTTTATTTGGATAATTCGATGAAATTAAAGTAAATCTATTTTGTAAATTTGTATAGGCTTTTTATACGTATAAGTATATAAATATTCAACAACTACCATGGATTTCTCGTATCGATTTTTTACTCGTGCGTAAAAACACAAGTGTAAAACACGAGTCGCGACCGGAAGAATGAAAGACGAGAGAATGAAAGAGCCTGTTTTCCGATATAAAAATTTGTTAATTTACCTCTTCCGCGCATCTGCAAGAACGAAGATAAATGTCGCGAAATGACAATACGGGACTGGATATGTCATTGTTATAATTTTTGCGGCAAACATTACATCCAGCTGTAAAACGGTTGAAAGTCATTTAGGTTTTATCTTATGTGGAGACGACGACGGCTACATATTTGTATTATGTTCGTGTGTGCAAACAAGTCTGCTGAAGCGCATGCTTTGTCATCTTATCCTATTTACCTTGGGGAGAACGCACCTTCGCACTGTTCGTCCTCGCGTGCATCGCACCGCCTTTCCGGTGATAATCGCTCAAGTGCCTGTGACAAATAGCAACGACTTTTCTCGTTGGGTGCACATCGTTCGCATTAAAGGCTACTATCGATAGATACTATCTCTAGATGGATTTAAGTTACGATCGTTCGAAAGAAATGTAGTGCAATCCTCCTAGAAATATATACCGTTTTAATGCATTCTCATTATTTGTATTAATACTTCGTTATATTAAATATTTTATTTAAATCAGTAAATATCACTTGATCTAAGGAGTATTGGAATAATCATTTACTTGAATCTAGCACTTTTTTTCCGTGTATACATGTTAGATCGAAACTATTCCAAATGATCTGATTTTTTGTCGCGCCCACAAGAGTCGCAATCAGTAGATATGTCCACGATTGGTACGGCGGAATCGGGCAGTAGATACGTCCGCGTTCAGTACGACCGGTTGCGCGTAGTAGATACGTCCGCTATTGGTACGACCGACCTGTGGCAGTAGGTACGTCCACAATCGGTGTGGACGGTTACGATGAACGCGGTGAACACGGTAAATGGTGCACTCGCCTAGGACAAATGATGAAATTAGGAATAATTAGTCAAGTATATAACCCGATAAGTTACATGCAGGAGGCACAAGCGGAAGCGGGAGGTGTGCGCCGGTAATACGTACCGGAGTAAAATATGATGTAGAGTTTGGCCAGTCTGGCGGGCGCACCACCGTGGCTAATACGTTTCAGGAAGAAGTTAGTAACAGGTGGCGCAATCCATAACAGCGCACAGCGTGAAATTTGCCCAATCTAGGGGGGACAAAAATATTTTACTTAGTTGCGCGTAAATACACGCACATTACATTCAATTCTGTACATTTATTTTATAATTGTGATGTTACGAAATTTATCACATAAGCGATTTCGTACTAAAAATGAGAATTTATTTTGTTACAGTGTCCGCGCCACCAAGCACTAGTCCTAGTCCTTCTACTACGGAAATACCCAAAAAAGGTGAGCTCTTAATTATAGTATTAAAATAGTATCACGTGTTCACGATAGTTAAATAAAATCGCGCCTGACTGAATAAATAGCTACACTAAAGTAATAAGATTATGATTTTCATTGTAAGACTTAATAGTTCCATACAATATGATTGATATTGTCTCGATTAAGTGTGCGTATGTCGTGTACGTGTATGCGTATGTGTGTATGAATCACGTCGTACTTGGCCGCTTGAATCTAATTTTCCAATGTACGTTTACTTTAGCAGATTGGGAATTGATGGAGATGAATAACTCTGTTTACGGAAATCCAAGTTCGCTGACAATTCATAACGAAAGGAATATCAAGACAGGTGAGTCTGTCTCGAACGTTTCACGTCTATTGTTGCTTTTTATTTCGCGCTGCGAAATGTTGCGTATCTCGGCTATTCCGTGAATTACGAGGATTGACTTGGCAATTTGGTATTTCAACGAAATAGTTCAGTCGCCGGCTGTCGCGCGGGTATATACGAGGAGTATCAAACACTTGAGATATACATTTAAGGAAAGTATTCTCTTCGATCTTGATCTCTGCTCGCATCAATCATTCAGACCTTTCTCGCAGAGCACATTCGTAAAAAGAAGGCGGAAACGCTGGGACAGGGAATAGAATTTGGAAAGGACATAATGTCGGAAGTGATAAAAGGAGAAATCTATCAACTACGGGAACGTTATCCGAGAGAGCTGCGGATAAATTATTAGTGCAAATTGTATCATCAATAACATACCGAATTCGCGCATCGGAGCATCGTGAGCTTATTTTCAACTTCCGTATTACATTTGTATATCATCATTAGTACCTAAAAAATACTTGCCTGTGATGAACGTATGAAAGGGATTCAAAAGTTTTAGCTGTAGCTCATGTGTCTCATAGTCTAGTAAAATTTCAACTAGTTAATGGGTTTACGTACTCGATTCGACATCGTATACAATCAAACGCCGCCCCGTAACTGCATTTTCCTGTGACACACTTTGAATCTCCGGCGATTAACTTCGATGTTAACTAGAGCCGGGGGACCCACCCGGGAAACCCGGGAATCGATTGCGGCTTTAAGAGTGGTTTGAAAGGTAAGCAGCCAGCTTTAAGCTCTCTAACGGTACGAAACAGAAGTACGAAAATAATGTATGCGACGAGATAACAGTTGGAATTTCAAAAGTGAATTTCTCTTCCGCTACATGTGATTGTGTAATCATATTATGTAAGAAATTGTGCTACATAAAAAGCTATTGTGAGTCCATAATATTTGACAAGATAAATCACGCTAATAATGTTACCCGGTAATATTGGCAGTTTTTAATGAAAGAATTGAAACAAATTCCGACACGAGCATATTACATGTTATTATCATCGTTATTATATGTGTGAATAGGCATACAAATACTGCAATACAGTTTAAGAAACCGCACGGCGGTATAAAGTAGAGGAGGTCCGATAGACCATCCGATTAACGTGATCTATTCGGAATAGGACGAAAATATATTCACATGAATGTAATCATACTAATTTAACTTTATTCAAAAAATAAACACATGGTTTCTGCCAAAAAAGCTCAGAGATGGAATGAATGGAAAGTGAAAAGAATACAAAAATAAATATGCAAGTATAATGGAAAAAGCAATTAAAGTGATGCTCAGGAACATATGAGTGACAGAATACATGAAAGAGAGAAGAAAGGATAGTTGAATGAATAGATATGGATAAAAAAATACGAAGGAGGAAAAAGGAAGAGAGAGAGAAGGAGAAAGACAGAGAAAGAGAGAAAAAGAGAGAGAGAGAGAAGCCGAAGAACATAGTTGACTCGGGTATAAGAGATCCCTGTAACATCAATATTTCATGTATGCTAATACGCCGGAACTAATAATGCTGCGGCGTGGAAGACCCAAGAATAATATCAACCGCGCCGTTGTAGCTCGCGTTCTCTCTCTCTCTCCCTCTTCGTCCTTTCCTCGCCTCGCACCTCCCTCGTCTTTATTTCTTTCTTTGTCCTTCGCTTTACTCTCTATCACCTAAAACAGCGACGTGCACAGCGCCCCGATCCTCTTGCGCCTTGTGTTAAATTTAATCGAAAATTCGTGTCTCGTTGGACCACCGCTGCTTCCATGTCTACGTGTCTCCGTTGCTCCTCCCTTTCCCCCTGTCACCCTTTCTTTTACATATAACCTATGTCATCGTCCGGGGGTGGAAAGGTGAGAGCGAAAAGGTGGAATCGAGAGAAGGAGAAGAACGGGGAAACGGGCATATAGTGGGATGTGGTAAGTTTGAATACGGCATATATCTCTTACTCTCCCCTTGTCTCTTTCTCTCTCTTCTTATTCCGTCTATTCGCGGAGGCTGGAGAGCAGGAAAGGACGGGCTGCGAAGGAAGGATGAGGTTTGTAATTGGTGCAACATCTGCGGTCTGCAGGATGGCATTAATGTTTGCTCCCTTCGTGCGCTTTCTCCCTTGTCTCTATCTCTCTCTATTCCTCTTCTTCTTTCTCCCATTTTCTCCCCTTACCCCATCTATATTTCCATCGACTCTGAGAATCGCTGTTTTTCTCTTATCACGTCGTTTCTTTTTCTCTACTCTTTATCCTTTCATTTAACTACGTTTACATACATTTCTCTTGTTTCCTTGAACACTTTATTTTTATGTCATCTTCGTCCTCTACTACGTCGTCTGATCGATTCTCTTTTGGTTTGCCAACGACTCCATGTCCCTCTTTACATCCACCATGCCACATTTGTTGCTTTCGAATTGTTTCTTTTATTTCGCGTGCACATGTTTCCCATTTTTTTTTTTACGGTGAGTGAGGGGAAGAGGCACAGTTTGCGAAGAAATTTCTTTGATGAGTTGGGGGAGCAAAATAATCTAGAAATCTCGGCCTTGTCTTATTAAAGATACATTTCATTACACAATTGCGCGAGTAATGAGAATAAAACAACTTTTTATTTATGATCGCAGTGAAAAAATTAACCGAAAGATTTCCTCTTCGTACCATTTGTACCACAATGTCGGAAGTAAGCCAATTTATCTTGCAAAAAATTTATATTAAAATGAAACAATGTTTCATTTAAACGCGAGAGAATATTCACAAAGATATTAATATATTACCAATCTCTTCAAACACTTTTTTTATACACCTTGATTTGTTACAATTACATTTATAAAGATTACAAGTTTCAAGTAGCCGCGTTTTGCAAACGAGTTTTAATTGTCGCTTTCGCTCGTTGTAAAATAATTCCCCCGTTTTACCGAATATCCATTCGAATCGATTTCTTCACGAGAGGTTTCGAAAGTACTTAGCTCGCCTGTATTGAAATCATTCATTCCAGTAGCTTCTCTCCAGTTATATCGTCAATCCCACTCTGCCAACACCGTAATATTGTATAAATTGTTTAATTCGTACGCACTAACATATTAAATAGTCGTGTGGCCATCTTTAAAAATGTCTGTTCATTATCCTTTTCCTTTTAACCGATGCTGCGCACTTCGCGACTGCAAATTGTAGAAGCAAACGTACATAGCCTACGGCGATAAGTCACTTTGAGGTTCCGATGGGAAACAGAGCAAGTATTGTCGCGGTATCGTGACATCTCCCGGAGCACATATGCCCTTAGGTGTCGCTTAATTCCCTCGGGCAGCGTTGTCCGCCTGTAATTCTAGGGGAGCATGTATAGCGATTGGTTTAGCCGCGTGCCTTCGTACGATTAACACGTCTCCTGTTCTATTGCAGCCGCACGCGCGCGCACGTGTACTATGTCAAGATAATAAAAATATAATAATGCGGCCATATATTTACGCGTACATGCGTTATTATTATTCGCGTGTCATAACATAAAAACGATATAAAATGGCAGATAGATTGCTTATGTTTAATTTAATTAAACTCGCGTGCGTTTATTATTGATTTATTTAAATTTAATTTAATCAAATATTGTGAAAGTTGAACGCTTTTTAAGCGGATAAATACTCGCTTACATTTACAAATGATTGATTTTTACACTTGCAATAGTAAATGTAAAAAAGCCGACCATTTTATTTGCAGCAACCTCTAATGTTTGTATCGTATTGTCGAAACATATTCGATAATGTCAGTGTTCTTAGATTATCGCCAGGCTTCCTGGGCCATATCGGCAGTTGCGAAACTTTATATAGGATCGACAGTCCTTAATTGTTACCTCATTGTTAATGTGATCCAACACAGGATCACCTTGCAAGTTTCGACCATGTACTTGACGTTTAATGTAAAGCATCTCTGATATCAATCTATTATGATAAGAGGATTCACGGTCAAGAACCCGCACGCGGTTTCAATCAAATTCATGATTCTCACCATCCCTATAGTAATCACTGAGTGTTGCAAGCTTTTCGATTTGATTCCGATCTTCAGAAATTCGAATTTTTAATTTTTTAACAGTCCGGTCATGTAAACAATAAAAAATCTTGTGTAAAAAATATTAAAATTAACGTTTTATTTTTTTATTGTGTAGCGATTGGTTCTATACATAATACTGCAGCAAAACTGAGAATTTTTACATATCTTGAACATCGATGGCCAGCTTTAAATTCTTTCGATGGTATCTGAGACGTGAAAAGGAAAACACTCTATCAATAAAATCGACGAGGGAGTGTCTTTTCTGACAAAAAGGGTACTGAGAAAAAACGTGTAGTGTCTTTTCACAGATCATCAATTTATAATCAAACTCGATACAACCACCTCGTCAATCGTTGGTCAAGGAAATTTGAGCGATGATCAATACCAGCTTTTATTGTAAATTGAAACCTCGGACAGAAAGAGTTGATGGTATCAAGGATGGCTTTAAACGTCGAAGAAGGGAGCGCCGATATGACCAATATATCAAACATAAAGGGGAAGATGTACTGATAATCCCTCGAGTGCCGTCAATTTCAAATCTGGCAGAGCGACGTCTACGATGACGAGCGACGGAGAAAAACCCATCGGAATATGCCAATTCGTCCAGGTTTCAATTTATAAAAGTAAAAAAATTGGAATGTGACACAAATGTCGTGGCGGTTTAAAATTTATCAATAGTATGTTGATACTCTGTGGTCCCAAGTCAATAGAAATATTTGTGAGACGTGTCTAATAAAATCAATCAAAGGTATTTCTCGCTTTTCAAATGGGACAATTTGTCGACGAGATGAAGAAGAGGTACGAAGCTAAAAACGGATATCGCATACTCTTGTATATCCCGATGATCTTGTGTAGATTTGAAATGTTAAAGTTTAGAACGTACGGTACGAAAGTCGCTCTTATTATACAGCCCTCTTACATTTGATTAAAAGAAAATTATACCGAACTTCTATTTCCCCGAGTCATTCAATAAAGAAACGTTTCAACGACAGTGTAAACGGCCAGAGCTAACATCCGGACGGTGATACTCCCAGTTGGGACCATCCACGGCCGAAGGATTGAACAAAAGTTCCGTTGAGGCGTTTTTATATTATTAACGTCGAGCTTTCCTTCCCTCGAAAATCCACTCGCTGCACACGCCGCCACGCGTCCATGCTCTCGCGTTGAGCAGCGCCTAGTTTATGTCTAGTTCCTAAACACATCGTCGTGGCATAGCTATAGAGAAACAGCGCCGCGCATCGCGATAGAGATTCTCGCATATAGGAAACTATAGAAGCCGGCCGCTGAGCGCGTATGCACCCACGTACGTGTATAGCGGCATGATACACACAATGTCACTGCTAATGTTTGGTCGAGATTTGCATACGTCTGTCTAGCCTATCCATTGCGTCGCCGTACGGTGTCTCACCTCGTTGTTCGAGGGTGTATCCGGCGAGGCGGCGACGGCGACCTTACTCTGGTATCAGGCTCGGTGCTATACACACGAGCGTATGTACATACACGCGACCTACGGCGTGCTCGCGCGCGCGTACACCCTCATGATCGGCCATTACCTCGCCGAAATAGGCTATCGTGCCAAGATCGTGTTCCCCGGCACTGCTTACAACCTCGCCTTGCTTGCCCAAACCGACTGCTCCGCCTCGGGGCTGCCGTGAACTTACAAATCTAATCAGGAGAGAACGAAGACACAAAGCGGTATTCGAGCGCCTTGCTCTGTGGATAGCTTGAAATTAAGCCGTGAGTGCGTAGGTCCGCCGCCCGTTCCGGAAAAATCACGAAGCTCGATCGGAGTGATAATCTCGCTGCGGAAAACACGAGGTATTGACGTCGCTAAATGCGGTTCTGATAAGTAATAGCGCAACTTAGCGGGCACGTACGCCAGCATGTGTCGCGTGTACGCGTGACTGACGTCATGTATGAAGGACGGCGATAATTTTTCATCCCATGTGCGCGTAAAACAAGCGTGAAGTTTGTTCCGCACGGTCGTATAAACTAAAGACGCAGATGGTGGTAATTGATTATGATTTACGATAATTTTCCAAATGAGCGTTGCAGACGAGTGTCGTTATCGACGCGAGCTTTCTCCCAAGCGTCGAAATGCAAACGCGATGATCTCATTGTGTTATTTTATCAAAATATGCTCATTATGAACTGTTACGTTGCAAGAATGTAATTCAAACCAGCGGGCTCGCGTGTGTCGTGACATGATAGAATCTACTTCGTGCGGATAAGGGAATTGTGTTTACTTGGAGTTTGCATACTAGTTAACGCGCTTGCCACCCACTTTATGCGTAACAGGCTCGTAAACATCTTCAGTTGAGAGGGCCACTCGTTGCACATCCCTTTGTCCGTTGGTGCTGCTATGTGAAACGCGCAGTGCTTTCGCTCCTTCCGTTCCCTCGTCTCCGTCAACGGCTTTGCGCGCGACCGTCTTGACGCGAGATTTGATTTTTCATTATTGTTTCTACAACATATCGTTGAACAGTTCGCGTCGAATTTTCGGTTTTAGACGGAACGTTTTCGTCAGAAATGTTTTCGCCTTTTATCTGTAGATTATGTTAGATTTAATTAATCATATTGACGCATGTTTCTCACGGACGCTTTTTATTGTTTTCCTTCAAGGTACCAAGTTCCAATCGAACCTTAATGAAATCGGAAAATCGGAGCAGAAGTCGGCCGAAATGGACAGAAAAAAGAATTACAAATATACAAATGCCGAGAAAGGTGAGTTTCGTAACATTGAAGGCGCTCTATACGTTGTAAGTAAGTTGGACAGGAGCATTTTAATCTTTACCTCTTTCTTTCATTATATCGTTCCCCAAATTAATGGTCACTTTAAAGGAGGATACTTCGTCGAAGCGAGTGCTTCGAGGTAGACACTTTATAGTCGTCGTAACTTTCTTCCGTTACTGTCCGATGCGAGTAATTGGACGAAATATGCGACGCGCCAGATACATCAGACGCGCGTTGAACAATGCGTGGCCTGTTACCTCGTTGAAATCCGGCTTGGATAGCCCTTCCAGTGGCAGACGAACCCTGTAGGGGACAAAACTGCAGCGGGTTTTCCTGTCGAAGGTGCGGTTTATCCGACATTTTGCGGCTGCGCCGTGGCATTTAAGCGGCTGCCGTCTACCGCATTTCTGAGCGCGGGTCAGGTCAGGTGTAGCACCCTTCATAATTCCGCTAAGCCTTCGGCATTATCGGATAATTCTTTTCTGCTCTCGCATTTTTTCTCCCTCCCCCCATGATTCGTCGTCTCGCCCTGTCCTCAACCCCTACCATCACCTCTTCCGTAATTCAATCCCTGCCCTCCCTCTCCTCCTCCTACATTTCCGTCTCTCAATATCTCGCTCGAACGCGGTTGCTTTTATTTAAAATGAATTTGCATAATGGCGAAGTGTGAAAATCCGTTTCCTCCGCGGGGACGATCGCGATAGTCTCGGAGAAGTAGGTAATTTTGCATAGAAAAAGGCGGATTAGGTAGTAACGAGGAAAACTGAGTTGCAAGCTTTCGCACGTAAGTGTCTTCGCGGAAGGAATTCCAGCGCGAGAAAAATATCGAACGTTTCGCGCGAAACGTTGCTCGGTAACAAACACCGAATCGCTCGCGCAAACGAGCTACTTGACGAAAAGCTCCGTTTGATTTGCAATCTCTTCGTTTTGGACTTCCCTTATTACTTTCTCCGAAGAAATATCCTCTTTTCAAATTGGCCAAGAAAATTGCTGCTGACATCTGATCTCGGGATTACTAATATTAACACGCTCCGTACATCATCATCAATAATTCTCATTATCGTGCAGAAATAGAGAGTAACGTGCAAACTGCGTTATGAAACAAAGCGATTGTACTTATCTTAACACAATTTGGACAATGTGAAGGGAAGGCCGCATAAAATCGAAGCGGCGCAGAACGCGCGAGAAATCCAAACTCGTCGAAATTATACCGCTTCCAATCTCCTTGATAAGAAGATCACGCGGGGTGCAACCCCGCAATTTCAACATTTCCTTTTCTTTCTTTCTTCTTTTTTTCTTTCTTGAGCGCAGTAATGAAATATAAATATCGACGATAAATACATAACGCATCTTGCTGGAAGGAGGGAGAAGGTGGAATGAAGGGGGAGTCAGAGCGAGAAATCGCGAATTGGAGGTAGGTAAGATCGCACAAAAGTAGCGAAGCGAAGAATTCTCTCAGGGGAACTCCGTGCAGCTACCGGATAAAAGAAAAGGAAGTCGAGGCAAGTTACTGCCTGCGAGCCTTTAGATGAGAGTCGAGAAGACGAAGAAAAAAGGGTCGTGGAAGAGAAAAGAGGGTGATCCGGTCGGCGGCGGCGGCGGCGGTGGCGGCAGTGGCGGCCCACTGGGTTGTTTCTGATTCGTAATTAGAGATGAGTGAGGCCAGGAAGAGGCCAAAGAATACATTTCTCTCCAAGCGAGTAATAGCTAACGGTACGGTGCAAGCCAACCGGAAGAATAACTGAGTTCCCATTTTCCTTATTTTATCTTTCTTCTTCTTCTTCTTCTTCTTTTCTTTATCTCTTTCTCCTCTTTCGCTCTTACATCTATTTCGCTCGGTCTCTCGTCCATCGGCACCTTTCTGTTACCTCGTCCCTGTTTCTACCTTATTCCATACCTCTTGGAGGATGGGAGAAAGAAAGGGAGGGATTTTTTCGTGGCAATCTTTTTGCAATGAGGTAACGACAGATTCTCGCCGTGAAGCCCTTAATTGTGCATTGACCTGGCGGGGCTACCGTGATACTGAGAGAACTCTTCTTTTCCACACGTGTATTGCCTGGCAGCACCGAAGAGAACGTATATTACGTGTGCTGTTTCTACTAAATTCTGAAATCTCATTTTTAATCTCGATATCTATTTAAGGGAATTTAGCTGTCTGTGTGTGTGTTTGAGGAAAGTCACACGATAATAATGTATTGCGAATATGTAATCTCAGCGAGTTGAGATTGAACAACATTCGTCTTAAACACGGCATTAACAAAGGCATTAATGACACTTAACATTGTTCGTTTTGAAACGAATTGTTAATTTTAACGGCTGTTGTTAACTATTTCTGATCGCTGTTTCACCTCTAATCCTCGTGAAATATTGTCTAATTTCAGACTCAGCAACGGGCGTAATGACGACCGGGACGTTACTACTGATTACTCTGGCCGTAATGATAATTCGATAAACGGAACACGAGTCTTCTCTTGGTTGACACGCCATTGGTGGATTTCTTTCATTAACAAACTGAATTTAAATAATTAGACTTTAAACGATACGTGAAGCATACATACATACACAGGTACACATGTATACATATACATATAATAATAAACACACAAAAACACACGTACACTCACGCACATACGTATTCGTGCATATGCGTAATTATATATACAAGTGACACAAAGACTGAACGAGTAGTTAGCGTCGTATTAAATGACGGTGAATAATTTACGCGTGCCAAGTTTAGTGTAGCGACAACAAAGTCTACGAGAAGCCAAGAATTAAAGGAGCACGAACCTCTCATCGATCCTTCACTCGGAAATTGTGTGTGGTGAGATGACTCAGGCGGGGACGCGTAAGGACGGAGAAAGAGAAACAACGAGAATGAAAAATGGATGATTGACAAAGTGCAACGACTATCGCTTTCAGTGTAATATATTGTAAAACGCCGTAACAAGCTGACGTCGACTGCAATACCAGTGATCCCGTCTCTGCAGGTGCAATTTAAGACGTGTGAGAGTGAGTCGTTACGTTTTTATAACAACACGGGAGAATTTTAATCACGCGATAACTGGTATCCCGAAATATCAAAACAAAAATACTCGAGCTTAATAATGGATTAAAGTTTGAGACCGAGCCAATTAGTTTTCGCTCTTTTTATATTTATACCATTTCGAGGTCATTTCTTTTCTTCTTCTTTTTTTTCCATTGGTATGATTGATGGGCACAAGGTTCTTCGATTTTATCAGCAACGTAAACGATTGAATTTGAAGATTTGTCGTAGCGGAAATTGCGGAAATTAATCGCACTTTGAGCGAAATTAATTTTCTACGGAACCTCGAACTAAATTCTACCTACGTAGACGCGCGTCTCAGTTCCATTTGTACTTCTAAACAACGGCGACTTTCTTTTCTTATCGAGATATGAAAAAACGGGAAGATGTGGCACCTCAAACGTGTATTATCTCCAACGTCAATCCCAATGTTTCGTTTTTCTTTTTTAAGTTCGTGAGACAATAGCGCCCTTTCTAATCTGCCAAGTGTTCTAACTCGTCCGATTCTCCTCCTTCGTATCTCTGCCTTCTTGCGTACGAAATCGTGGATCCAATCTCGATACTTGAGATTAAAACGTCAGATTCGGTCTAGAGAGAAGTTGCTCCCCATTCAAAGAGGTGCTCGAAAGAAGAACCGAAAGAGAGGGAAATGGAAAATGGAAAGTCCGCGAAACGAAACGGAGATGCGCCATAACCATAGAAAGTGTCGAATTAGGTCGATGTGAATGTAATGGCCGATCTTGACACTATAAGCAAAAGTGAAACGTCGACCTTAATTTTTGCTACGATCTAATACCATTAATCGCAATCGGGCGGATACTGCGTCGCACCGATGTTTCGAAAGTGCCACAGTCCCTTTTATTCGATCCTGTCAAATATAAAAGCAACTATAGCTCCGTTTCCTCGCTCTAAATAGTGCTCATCCTGCGTCGCGAGATGTTATCTTCTTTCATCTCGTTATTTCCATCACGTTCCATGTGGTTATGATTACATGACTTTTGCATCGGAAAAGCGATAAGTAGAAAATAACCCTCCTTTGTATAAGTATCTCCGCGCTCTTTTGCACACGGCCTTTTTTTTGTAAACGAATACCAATTACGCGGAAAAAACAGCTACGTCCGGCAGGCTTTTGTCTTACGTCGAAAAGAAAGGGACTCAAGCTCACGGACTTGTAAAGAAGAACGCGAACGATTCGGCGCTCTGTATTATTTAACTAGCTGAGTTTCTAGTAGCAGTAAGCCGTTCGTAAAAACAAAGAAAAAAAAACACCCATTTCGTGAGGATGAATTTTCATATGACTACGTGTCCGCACACTGATGTTATTTGCGATTGAAGTGACGTCGGCATGCATTCATAACGGACACGGAAATTTTTCGCGGTGAGTTGCATGGAACTGCTCGGAGGGGATCATGAGTGAAATGACTGCTAAATAAATACATTAGATTTGTCAAACGTGTCGAATCTATTTCACGCTGCTGCCACGCACCGTGCGAGCGATCAATTTATATTTCCGCATTAATTGATCAAATTAGGATTTATTCGCGGACACGGCTGCGAAAATCTGCCTTTGCCATGCCGGTTTTAAGCGGACTCCGAACTACTTAGGAATATCCATTATTCAGCGTACATCTTGTTTAAAGCAACAGGTTCGAGAGTCTCTGCACTCGCGCGCAAAAGGAGTTAATGCTTGCGACGGATTAAAGAAGGGAACGGTCGACTTAGGGATTATGCGGACTTACTCTGATGAGGTCTGTAATCGTATCATTCGCGAGACTACCTACAGTCTTCTAACTTTAAAAGTCATAAGCATTTAACATAAGGGGATTGCGCGCTTTTGGAGCATCGTGATTGTCGGAGCGGTGCAATCTGCAAATCTTATTGCGACGAATCCGAATCCTGACCCGGCCCTCAACGTTGTTAGGGGACAATTTCTCTCTCGACTATCGTGTGAAACATTGATTTGCATTTACATAATGACGATTGAACGGCATTTCCTTTCTGTTTTTTTCAAAGGCATTCTCTACAAATGCATTACATTGTCGCGCAACATTATGACGCAAAATTACGCAGAAATCTTTAGAAAGTATTTAAACAGAGGTGCTATATAACTTAGACGTCGCGTTTAATGACATTAGTATTTCAATTAATTTTCAACAAAACAGAAAGAGAGAGAGAGAGAGAGAGAGAAAGAGCGAGAAAGAAGAGAAAGAAGAGAAAGATGTTGAGATACTTGGTGTCAATTATATAAAAATATTCCGAAACTTCTTAAAATTATTATTGAGATTATGCTTCTCACGGGACTGTTATATATAAGTTCAACTTTCTCTCTCTAATTGAGAATTATTCATTTGCCATTTCCACATAATTGTCTAAAAAAAAAATAAAAGAAAGTATGAATGCACTAGTGATCTATTGTAAATTCCAGAACGAACAAATTTGTTCACCATCATAACGCAGCGCGTGATGCCACTTATTTCAAATCATTGACACTTGTTACAATCAGAAGGAAAAGCATCAAGATAATCGTCACAAACAAATATTTAATATACTCATGTAATTTTTACGCGCTCACATGGAAAAGAAAAAAACGGCAAATCTTTTTTACGACAAAGCATGACTAGATGACCGTTATTTAGATGACACTTAAGTATTGGTTTGACGTGAAATTATAACGAGCTTAGCCAATCGGTGGCATAAAGCACGTACATACATACAGTCTCGCGTAAAATGTATAAATACGCAGCTCCGAAGAAATCTCTCGGTGTATCTCTGAAATAGTTCTGCTTTACAGGAGATCGGCAATTAAAACGATACAGTAAAAATTCGTTATTCTCTTCGATCATGCCTAAAGACTCGAAAGACATCGGTCTACCGAGAATCTATCTCTTGCCCATTACGCAGATAAAATTTGTACGTGTATGTATGTATGTACGTGTATACGCGTGTGTGTAATGCGTGTAAAGCAACAATGACTTTTTTTTGTGTACCCATCCGCAATGCCATTTTCCATTAGCATCGTAGCTGCAACACGTTCTTCGTAATTCGGAATATACCGACTGTGTATCATTGATTCAAAAGTAAAATACGTGATCAGATTTGCAAAGGCAAATATATTATACGTACGGATAAGTGTTCGTGGCAAGTTAACAAGTGTAAAAGAAAGAATAGCGGTAGCTTGGGCAACGGCATCCAATATGGTCTGCTTCTATTTAAGATGCGTGAGAGAATTTTTATATTTTTCGAAAATAAAGATATTTTACCATAAGTGAAATTGGAAAAGTAACAATTTGCGAATGAAGTAAAGATTTCAACTGACTTAGGTAACCACGAGGGATACAACGTCGAATTTTTCGAAACGTTTAATTAGTCATATCGAACACAATATAGCCCTTATTATTTCTTCCTAAAAAATAAAATCGAAGTGTTGTGTATACGTATATGCGTACGTGTGCATACGCAAACGTGTTGGTGTGCATAATAAATGTGTGTATGTGTGTGTAAATTAACAGAAACTGAATTAAATTAACAAGTGTATCGCACAATATTTAGTAAAATATTTTTTTAGGGTAAATGTTCTCTTTCTCTTTTGTTAAACCCCAAGCACTCCTCGTGGATAAAATAAATATACACGCGTGCACATGCTCTTCACTGCATCTCTTTGCACACGTTGCGAATATATATTTAGGATTTAGAAATTAGAATCGAATAAGTAGAAATGGCAGAATAGAATCATTATCCTATGTGTATTCAATATGGCCTAACTGGACCAGATTGGGTTGCCCTAGCAAAACGAAAATTTTTCTCTGAGAACTGAACAGAAGAAGATGTCACGATAATCAAGTGAAACGTTTACATCGTTTATATCGGTATACTAAATATGACTATACTGAGTAAAAAGCACAATGTCAAATTTAGTGGCAAACTTTCGCCGATTATTGCAAAAGTATTCGAACGATCGGTCTAAAGATGCTCGAACGGCTTAATTCGCCGTTGATAAATGTTGCGAAGGTAATTATTATTAATTAAATTCATAGTGTAAGTACTGAGAAGTATATGATAAGTTATTAGACCATATTGGGTCCTGTACTATATTAGATACAGCTACCTCATAATTTACAAAAATAGTCAAACTCTTATTGCAGTAGAGCTATGCTACTACAGTCGACGATAATAATTGCTTAATTAAATTTGAGTGCTCCGGTGGCTAAGGGAAAATGGTGACGCAGAATATATTCGAACGATCGGTCTAAGAATGCTCGAACGTTGACTCGTCACTGGCGAATCCTGTGAAAGTAATTATTTACAAAAACGTACACCTCCCGAATGATCTTGATCTTGAGAACACATTGTAGAGGGTGCATCGAACAAAATCCGCGCTTCGAATCAATCGTGCATCGGTCACTTCTGTGGCTGTCACTTAAATGCTTTATGAAATAAATATGTCTCAAGATTAGGGCAATTCCGAGCGAGATAGAAGTCTTTGTAAATGATTACCCTTGTAAATACGAAGTGATAAGAAATATACGTAGAATAAGCTTCGCAGCGTACGATATAATAAGTATGTGCGGCGTATCACACATACCCCATCTTTCCGTTTTGCGGTTCTCACACTTGATTTCCCTTGTATCCCATCGTTTCCTCGCACGGAGAATCGCGCGGATGGATAAATCTTAGCGAAAGATATTTTGACCGTAGTCCAAAGTAATACGGATCGACGTGACAAGGAATCGCCATTTAGCATTGTAAGTGCGTATGGTGAGACACGTGTTAAACGCGAAGGTATACATGTATACATAACGCAAATTATAAATATGAAAATACAAATATATAAATATAAATAATAATACGAAAAATACGGGGATCTATTAAGTATATATATTATATATATATATATATATATATATATGTTATATAAATATATCATTATATAATATTATGCTTTGCGTCGTTGAGTTGAATGTTGTTATTTATAAGAAAACCGAAAAACGAGAGATTCTTATGAATATGCTCGACATATGTAATAAAACAAGGGTTACGTAAAAACTCTATAATAGTTGCGTTTTTCTTTCCGTCCAATATCACCTTTCACCCCTCAAATACTCTTTCTCTCTCTCTCTCTCTCTCTTTCTTCGCCTGCTGATTAAATAAAATTTATAAAACACAGTTCACACAAATTTGACGCTAAACAGAATATTGTTAAAATATCTCGCACTACTAGATTGCTTCGTAGTAAATATTTTATGTCGACATAAGTAACTAGTTAAACGTGTCTTATTTTTCAAATTTATCTTTCACCTATTATCAGCAATAATAATAACAGAGAAAACTGTTACGATCTTCTCGGCTAGAAATAATGCAGACGCGATCGAATTTCGCAAATTTTCATGGAATAAGAGACAGGTGCTGTTAAATCGTTCTATTCCATCTATTCATTTATAATGTTGCTGCTATGATTTTATCCCTACTAATTTTACTTATTTAGTTATTGTTGATTGATATTTATCTAATATAAATTCCCGTAGTCTATTAATAATTCACATAAATAATTGATATATTTCAATTAATATTAATTATTATTAATAAATGAACGCTCAAATTTGAATGAATCCCCATACGCATTGGAAAATATTGGATCACGACTGCCGATGCAAATCTCGCGAGCGGTATTTCGTTCCTCGATGCACGATCCTGTTCGTTAAGCTAAATACATCAGGATACGCATCTCCGCCGACGAGAGAAGAGGTGCTGAGAGTTTAGGGAACATTCGGGCCACGTGGAGAATTGCGCACGACGTTATCTGCCATCGACGGATTAAATCGGGCCGACTATATGTTTATGCAGCGGCATGCGAAGTGGCGTGAAAGTTCAACAGCGTTGGATATACGTCGTCGGTGACGAAGATAGCAGGCCGTGCGAGCCCACCAGCAAGGGTCGAGAGGAGAATATGTCAACCTTTACATAATATTTCGCCGCTTATTGCCGCTAATGTTGTAACAAGCGACTCGCCGGTCGCATACTAACCGAAGGATTAATTCCGCTCGCAGTCCGCAAGACGACTCGCGAACACGGCATTTCCCGCTGACAAGTTAGAATCAGTTTAGAAACCCGTAAGCCCGGCAGTCGCTAATTAAAACTATGCTACTCCAGACTACCGAGAATTAGAACGGGAAAGCGGCCGAAGTTCGTTTATTCAACACGGTTCATTTTATTCGTGCATCAGTGTCGGTGTCCTGAAATCATTCGCGCGGCATATTAGTCAGCTGTTTCTTTCCCTCGACGTCAGATAAGATTCGCTTTTTTTTTCTTTTTCAGTAAAGACAAAGACTGAAGAACATTTAATAATGCATTTTATTATTTTACGCCGCTAATGAAGAGTCTGCAACGTAGATTGAATTCTGTTACGAAAGTTCGCAACATGTTCGAAGGACGGGCTTAAAATGATGACCGGAAGAAGAAAGAAGTTACCTTGAAATCTTGATGAGGCCGAGTTGCCGGCAAGGGTAGGCATTGCAGCGGATGAATTAACTCCACTCTCGACTTGCCCTGCACCATTAGTTGGTCTCTTCTACGTTACTTTATAATGTGGTCCATGATAAACGCGGCCGCCTCGCCAGACATTTTCGTCGCGACCATTCATTCGAGTTTCCTTTCCTTTCAATGACCCGTTCTCTTTTTCTCTCGGCTGTATTGTCGAAGTGTACTTTATTCTCCCGAGACATTCGCCGAAAGATATTCACAATGCGAATAAGTAAGAAAAACCACAAGACATAAATTAGAAAGCCTCACCTTTATCAAATACACGGTAATAATGTACGATATGTCCAGTAAATTATAATATAACCGACTGGGAGGTAATCCCTTGAGGAACAAAGAAGAAAACGACATATTAAGAAATATAGACTAAGGTTGCATAGTTTCCGAATCAAATGATTTGAGTGTGAAAGTACTACAGAAGAATGTTATTACGGACCACTTATCGGAAATTTTTACGCGAGATTTCAATTTTTTTTTATTTTTATTGAACATCCGTTATCGGTAAAAAATGTCTCACACAAGTTGAAATATTGATTTTATCGCGAATGCAGGGTGACTTTCGTTTTCAATATTTTAGCTAATTTAGTCTGCATATACATATGCGCTATTATTTATAGTATTTAGTGTGTAAATAAAAATTTATCTCACAATTAGCTTAGCTACGAGGCCATTTGGCCAGTTACTCATTAAACCGTGTTATTGATAAACAGATAAATCCGTTATAAATGAATGTTCGAAAACTTCAAATATAATTATCGCTATTATTACGCAGGATTAATTTAAGCTAATTATTTCCAGACTTTTTATCTTTTTAATATAAAAGCAGTTTTTCCACATGAGATGTGAAAGGAAAATATCATTAACGCACTTATCGAAAAAAAAAAATATTTTAACAGGCTAAATTATTTTTTTGATAGCATCATCTTTAATATGTTTTATAATACGCCATTTGTATTCGAATTTTCTTTCAACTGGAATTATTTAAATTATCATGTTAAAAGTATTTTCTTTATTTCATAAGGAGTTTCATATGTGCTCTTCCTTTCTGTAAAGAAGATAATGATTTTTCCAGTCTTGTAAGTATTATACTCTATAAACATAGGTATAAACTCGACAAGTTGAATCTTCGGAAAGCCTTGCATCACGGAACGCGTTAGCAACCTGGTATAGATATATCATTAGCATAGCTGTTATTGTCAGCATAATACCGTTAAAGCTGTGAAATCAGCAAAGTGATAAGACCGATTCATATAAGCTGCGAAACGGCGCATGTATATTACGTCAAACTGCAGTACATACAAGCAATCTTACCGTAATAAAATTAGATAACTTCTTATTTACGTGCAGATAAGATTATCCTTACACAATGTATGCATCGCGCGAAAATACGCGAAAATACCGCGGAATAAACACACACACAAATCATATTGTCAAAATAAAAAATCTCTTTTAACTCGAGCAATTTATCAATCCGCGTAAAAATTAAACTCTTGTTATTAATCGGTTAATCAACACACCACTCTCTCCCTGATCCTGAATTCTTTCTTTAACACTCAGAGTGTATTCTTTTATATCCGATATCAGAAAGGATTTCCGGCAAGTTACATGATTAATTTATCACATACATAATGCTGCGTGAAAGGGTGATTCAACAATTATATCATGCCACGAGGAAAGTCTATTAGCTTGCACGACGGTCTATAGTGGCCGAGAAAGGGGGAGTAAAGGAACGTCATATTAAATGGCATAACTTATCTATATAGATGCACGTGATTATTCACTTTGCACTCGTGACACATTAGTTTACATTTGGTGAAAATGTTTCAGTTTTCATATGGTTTTGTGTTAATAATCAAAATGTGAATGTGTTAATATTTATTCTTTTAAACACACATTTTTTACTAGTCAAAAACGCTTACTCTCAATAACGTTGCCGACAATAGCTCTGTAATAGCAAACGATAGTAAACGATAGAGTCGGTCGAGAGGGTTGGCAGCTCTATCACCGATAAGAATGCATTCGCGATCAAAAATGACTCGAGGCTATGAAGGCCCGATGGAAGCATTTCGACGCGCGATTCGGGATTACGAGAATACCACGTCGATGCAACTCGAAATATGACGCGAGACGAGCCGACAAACGAAGAACTCGTCCGGTCCTCCGCCGGCACGTATCACGCATATTCGGCACGGTAACCCGGCGATGGATTCTTAGTGCGAGCCGCGCGGAAGTCCGGGAATTCGCAATCCGTTTACGAATTTCAAACGGCAAGGTAATGGCTCGTGCGTAGTCGCGCGGTTAGAAATTACAATTCGAATTCCAGTGCTGTAGCTGACGACGCGAGGGAGAGAGTGAGGCGAGAAGGGAAAAGAGTGAGAGAGAGGAGAAGGGAAGTACGGATATTGGGGTAAGAGAGATAGGGGATGATGCCAGGAAGCGGTAGAAGCGGAGGAGCTCTCGAGCTGGCAGTTGACCCGCGCGCGCGCACGCGGATATAACGGGTTTTCGATCTCTGTTCGGTGGCGGTATTCTGGAATTGTAATCGCAGCTCCCATTCGGACGGTTCTACGCACGTCGTAGTCGGTCGTCCTCTACGGGAACGACTACGATGCGGTCGAATTCCATTTTAATTACTTATCCTCGATCCGCGTCGCAATGCCTCGTCACGTCGGGCCGCGGCGTGATACTTCTTACTTGAAATGATAAATATACATTTTTTTTCGAAGTACGCGTTACGGGATACCGTAAATAGCGATAAGTAGCAGATCATGATCCTTTATCGTGATTTCACCTCTGACAAGATGTCAATACATGATGTGGACATAATGACCGGTTATTCCGCATTTTGCAACTGGTTTCTGTACTATTTTTGATACAGTAAACAGTATAAGTTGCCGGTGGATACGAACGTACTAATAAGAAAGATTGCCATATGCTAATAAGTAAGGTACAGGTACGTATCGTTAATGTAATACGGAGTACCGCTAGTAGGTGAGATGTAGCTTTCGACTGAACCGTTTCGGGCGACTGTTTTCTAATTACCGAAAAGCAAACAATCTTCGCGTCAATTACATAGCGGAGGTTGTGAAAGAAGAGAAAAAAAATTGCATTCCTTGTTTAATTTAGATACATACCGGCGAAGAAATTTAACAACTAATAAGATATACAACCATAAGGAAAAAGTAGGAAATCAAAGAGATGTAATATTCTTCAACCACGAATTTTCTGCCAAAAATAGTTTAATGTGACTTTAATTTAACATAATTATATAATTCTGTTTACTTTTGATAGCAATCTCTGTTAATATTTTTTAAAACATGTATCTTAATATTTTTTTGCTTCAAGTTAAATGTTGCAGTGGAACATGGAGTAAATTTTTACGTGTTTATATTTTGATAAATTGTATGATGTTAACATCTGTAATATCATTGCAAAACTGCACAATTGTTTAAAATTTATGTTCACTTGTATCCTACAGATGAAGAAAGGAAATTTGCACAAGTGTATCGTAACCATGACCCGATATGTGTGTGCAATTGTTTGTGAAATTATTTTACACAAAGTCAATTATGAAACATTATATGTTAAATATCTTACTTCATGAATGTCCAAGGCTACCAAATGAAGAATTAACGTCGTTGCGGTTGTCATGCTTTACTGTAAAATTATTTCACAGTATATCGGGAATTTATATAAATTAGAGCGGCTTCTTCGTCGCCGACTAACCATTGCTGACAACAGTTCTTCTACGTGTCTGACACGAATATTATATATTATATTTAAGGCTGTTTTAAGTTCAACTTCGGATGATGCTTCATTTCATTAGCTACAAAACACCCAAAGATAAGGTAAAAAACTTAAAATGCAACTTGAATACTGCCGTATAACTATTATAACATATTTGTTATATAAATTTTTATTTCTAAATTATAGCAACAGAATGTGTTCACTGGATAATTATATACAAAAGAACAAATTATAAAATAAAAATAAATGGGTAGTCATATACAAAAAAAAATAAAATTACAAAATTGTAATATGACTGTTACAACATTTTCGTTACATAATTTTTTATTTCAAAGTTATATAACAGCAACTGAATGTGTTAACTGGGTTCTTATTTAAAAGAAAAACTTTATTATTTTTTGCACTATAAATAATTATAATGTAAAAGTAATATTGATTTCACATTACAAACTGTTTACTTAAGCATTTTAAATCTCATACATATAATGCTAAAATAAAAAAGGGAAAACAATTCTTCATATATATACAGAGTACACATATAGAAAATTTTTAATATTTTTTTGTAATAAATTAAAGTATAACTTTATAGATGCTTAACTAATATTGGGCTTTAGTTGAATTAACCACACATTATGTTCCGTAATTAAATATACGCATGAGGAAATTTCTGTCATCTTGTGAAGTAAGCTAAACTTAGAAAACACTATTGCGACAAATTAAGAGAGTGGGAAAAAGAGGCGCGGCCCCAACTTTAAAAAATAGCAGGCGATACTCGTACGACAGTCAATTGGTCGGGAACAGGCTAAATAAGCACACGCATAAGTTGAAGACTCCTTTCGAAGACTCGTCGCTGGAAAAACGGTGCAAAAGTTTCGATTTAAAACAAGTCTTCGAAGACAGCATCGACGTTTCACATATTACAGAAGCAAAAGCTAACATTGCAAGTACGTAAAGCACATTTGAAACAATTATTATATAGATATAGAGAATTACAAGATGATATCCTAAGTAGCAGAGTAATGCCGGAGGACGTTATATTGATGTCATATTGATGTTAGAGACGTAATATTGCCGTTTATATGACGTCCTCTAACGTCACTTTGCTATTTGAAATTAGAATATAAAGTATTTGAAATTAGAGTATAAAGTATTTCGTGTAAAAGTAAGGAGAACAAATAAAATCTTTTATTATTTTTATTATTATTATTATTGAAAGAATTCTCTCTCTCTCTTCTTCGCGTAAAATTGAAAAATTAATATCATTTAGCTTTCTCTTAACTTGAATGACGTTCTTAACATCTCTCATGCATCATTAAATTTATTACTCTTATGGTGAAAGGTAAAGATATTCTTTAATTATTTTTTCATGCTATTTTTCGATAATTTATTTTATTCCCAGTTATATTACCTTAAATAGGACGTATTATACTTTTTTCCTTATGTATCATAAAAGTTGTTGGAGAGTATTAAGAATGACAGAGCATTACTAATATTTCAATTTCTAAAATTAATTATCTCGAAACTTAAGTCACATATAACAAAAATTGTATTCTAGACACTGCACTTATTTTTTACACGAGAACTTACTTTCTTTCACTCCTTTACTTTCTTTTTTGGTTATACCGGTCCCTTCACACTCTATATATACAAGGTTTCACATTTTCGCCACATGATTTTTTAATAACAGATTTCTTAGCTGAGCGTAGCGAAGAAATCTTTGATAATCGACTTGAACAATGAACGGAGCTACAAAAATAATTCCGTTTAAAAGCAAAGTTACCGCCAAAAGTAATTTAATGCTACTTTAATCTAACAAATTGAGTTATTGTCATATTTAGTTATTGTCGACTTATTTCGTTTGATAATAAGTATTACTTCGATAATATTTATTATTGAATAATGATAATACTAGAAAAACGATATCATAAAAATTACTATAAATTAATAGACATGATATTTTATAATGGCTTCTTAATTATAATCGTTTATAATGGGTTCTTAATTATTTCACGAGAAATAACTTATTTATAACGCTACATAGTAATCGCACATTTAATGATCTTAGAGATAAAGTGGCAAAAGGAGGAAGAGAGGGAGTAGGAAAAAAGAAACGAGAGTAAAAAAAGAATATTAGGAGGAAAAGAGTGAGAGAGGAAGAGAGAGATGAAATATCATAAAGATTGCTCTCAGAGAAAATTCTTACCTAATTGAAGGAAAAACTTCCTCCGAAATTGATAAGGCGGCTAACTCAAATGTGCTTGTGACATTGTATTTGTAACAGATAACTCCGAAACTGAATTTAACTATAAAATAGATAATCGTTAAAATGATTTTGCATTATTACACAACACATTCTGTGCGTTGCAAAATCAGAAACCTTAATCGAATAAATAAAAGTTATTATCTGTGCGATTCATTTGATTTCACTTCATTCCTCAAGGATGGCAAAATTGCAATATCACTTAAGCATCGTGCTTATGTCGTGTTTTGGCATATTCACGGGATTGGAAGCTCATTCAAAACAATCAGAAAACGACTCCACGAAATTACGACTTATCAACACGGTGAGATACGAAAATTTGCATTGCGCAAATAAAGGTACGTTTTATCGACAAAATGCAAGGTTCTTATATATTTCAATATTCAGGTGTTCAGACATGGCGATCGGACGATGGAAATACAATTAGGAGAATCGTATCCAAATGACCCAAACAAAAATTTCAATAGCTATCCTGATGGCGATGGTCAGCTGACTAACGTAAGACCTGACTTGCTACAACGTAATACATATTACATAATATTGTTAATTATTTCCATCTTATTCTTTCGCAGTGTACACCCTATTTTTATATTGACATTTTTTATTTTGTTAATCCTTTTATTATCAAAATCGTTGGATGTAGAACGCGTCGTGTATTATTTACTAGAGTAAATAAATATTTTCAAGAATTAAAATATTAAAAATTATTGATACATCAACGTACTTGCGTATATCGCATTTTCAGCTTCTTATTATTTATCCTGCATTAATACGTCAGAAATGTTGATATTTCCTTATCGAGTTCTATTTTCGCAAGAGTAATTAATAGCTTAATCGTATTCTTCCTTGTCTTTATCACCTATATGATCTTAAAGGTTGGCAAGAAAAGAGCATATGACTTAGGAGTAGTACTGAGGAAGAAATACAATGATTTTCTCGGAGATGTTTATTATCAACCAAATGTCCATGCGCGTAGCACGTCTTTCCCGAGAACTAAGATGACGCTACAGTTAGTCCTCGCAGGACTTTACCCTCCTGCACGTATTCAAAAGTGGCATTCAAGCCTAGCTTGGCAACCTGTGAATATTCAATATACGTTTGTTAGAAATGATGGTCTGCTGTTTCCGGCTTACTGCCCCGAGTAAGTAAACCTTTAAGGCTTAACCACCTATGTACACCTACAATGATAAATTGTGCATTACATTTCGCAAATGTTTCAATGAAAATGTTTTTTTTAAATAAATTGTGATATTTCATCCAGGCGCTTGGATAAAACTAACTGTCGTAACTTAAACTATTTCAGATTTATCTTTACAATTTTCAAAATTAAACAACAAGAATTTTATTTCACGATAATCTCGCCTATATTATAGATTTAATAAAGATTATCTCGGACATCTTGTCGTGAGAATTGTAATATCGTACTTCTGAATTATTCGAATTATTTCTTCGCATCATCTTGAAACGTTCTTTTTTTATTTTTCACTCTGTCTCTTTATCCCGGTAGATACCAACAAAAGCTGTCGGAAATCGAACAAACCCCAGAAGTGATAGCGCAAATACAACAATATGAAGATTTAATGAAAGAGACGTCAAAGTATACAGGGAAAAATATGACCAGCGCGTTTGACCTCTTTATTCTATTTAACACTTTTGTTACGCAAAAGTACTTGGGCTTACCTTTGCCCGACTGGGCGGGAGATAAATGTCTACAGAGTAAATTGTTCGATGCGGCTATTTTCTATTATAACTTAATGAGCTACAATGACGAGCTCACTAGACTTAATGGAGGTAAATTTAAATCAAAAACCTAATTACTAAAGATTAATAGAAACAATTTTCCAATTATACCGATTAAATTTAAATTAATTTAAATTAAATTAATTGGTCCCAATATATCACTAAAGATTTAAACGAACAACTTGCATTTAATCTAGTACCACCAAACGCTTACGAATATTGTGTGATTGATTATTGGATTTTCACACATGCAATTCTTTCTAGGCATATTGTTACACAGAATGATCCAAGATATGAAGGGAGTGATCAATGGAACTTTAGTAGATAGAAAGATCAACCTCTTCTCCGCACATGATATTAACGTGGTCGCTATGCTTAAAGCTCTAGATATATACGACAACACTTTTCCGTCGTTTACAAGCACCGTTATCGTAGAATTGCACGAGAAGGACAATAATTATTTTGTCAAGGTAAGTGCGACATCGTTCTAACACGGCTTATGTCATATTCGAATTTCCCGCCACTTATATTGCACGGGATATTTAAGTTGTCCACATATACGATAACGCGATCTGATACATTGCGCGAATTGACGAACAATAACAATAACATCTTTTCCATTTGCAGGTGTTACGTTATTTGGGTGATCCATCTCAAATGATCGAAGTGCGCATTCCTGGCTGCGATATGTTATGTCCGTACGATAAATTCGTCAAATTGAGATTAGCAGCAACCGCAACGGATGAAGAAAATCCGAAATGCCCGAGAACGCTTTTAGATCATCTATAAGAACGTAATATACGATATAATATAATATAACACACATTCTAAAGTCTATATCTAAATTTAAGTCCAAACAAATTGGAAAGTATCTTTTTTGTTATTACATGTAACAAATTATTTAATCGGACCATGCTCAAAAAAGTTTAGAACTTTTATAAGATTTCCGTAAAAGTAATTAGAAAAAATACATTTTCAAATAAAAAGAAGCAAATAAAAAAGGACAGTGCATGTAATTTATCATGTGAAAAACCCTTCGAGAGTAGATTTAACGGTTGAACATAATATTAATAAAATCTAGGTTTTTACAAACATATATCGTATTTAATTTCGTTTCCGAATTATAGCGAGTTTCGTTTTCTAATGAATTGTACCTGCCTAACTTCACAAGAAGTGTTCGGAATAACTGGTTTTCGTCTCAATACGAGCTTGCAAACTGCTGTCTGATCATCGATCTGCTTGCTCCACATCACGTATCCAGTCGTTACTCCGATATGTTCGAAACTTGATAATCAACAATCAAGCGGAAGTAAAAAATTATAGTTTAGCTGTTAATTTCTAAATTAACTTAGCCGTTAATTAATAACAAGAATTCTTATAAACTTCCTATAAAAGAGGAACAAAATCAAATACGGACATGTGTTTATAGAAACTTATTTCACGTGTGTTCATAGAAACGTTTTCAAGTGCTAAACATATATATCTAAAATATTGCCTGTATAATAAAGTTACATCATGTGTAAATAAGATTAAAACTGACCCTCCTGAAAATCCGCTGATGGTCTCGTAGATGTCCCAAATATGTACCTTGACGAAGACATGGCACGCGGCACAGTTACCTACTTTACCTTTCGGCCGCGTAATGACACCCGCCACCCTCTTTTACTTTTTATACACCATCCTCACTTTTCCTCCTCATCTTTCTCTCGTTTCATCTTCATCTTAATTTCTATATCTCGTGTAGTTACACGTTTCTTCTACCATTTAGTATGTATATGTTTGTCACAATATGTCCACAAACCAAAACCGAATCGTATGATAGGCAATATTGCTTATTTAAATTTAATTAAAATTTTGGTGTAATCATCACATCGTTCTATCTTTTCAGTTTTCTTTATATTTTATTCTAATTCTCTTTCTCCTATTACTTTCTCGCTTTATCTCTACCATTATCTTCACGTTTATTTTCGTGTTTACTTTTTTTTTGTATTTTTCTTGTATTTTTCTAGTCCATTTGCGCCTCGATATGTCTCCAAATAAAAGTCGCACTGTTCCGTTTTAATGGTTAGTCTTGTCGATTAAAATTTAGACATCACACCTATTTATATTTTATTTTCTGACTCGTACGTATGAATATTTCACGATAGTATAACGCTGTGCGTTATTATATTATAATTTAATTAATTTTATTATAATTAATCTCATGATTTATTTTTTATAGAAAGTTATATCGCGCATTAGAAAATATATAAAGTTAATTTCAACTTAATCAACTTAATAATCAACTTAAAAAATGGCAAATGTCAAATTTTATGTGCATTATTTTATCGTTCTGATATTTTATTCCAATGTATTCGCAATACAAAAAGATGAATTTAGCTTGGAAAAAAGGGGAAATGATTATGATGTAAATCTTCCAGGCACGAAATTACGACTCATCAGCATGGTGAGATAGAAACTATAATTTTATAAATAAAAATATATCTTATCAAGGTTAAGAAAGACAAGTTATATTGAAATATTCAGGTATTCAGACACGGCGATCGGACATTGGACAATGATTTCAGTTTTATGTATCCAAACAACCCATATATAAATCACGATGACTACCCATACAACGACGGCCAATTAACTCAGGTAATGTTCGACTTACATATTACATTGCGCCAGATTGTTAATATTTTTACATCTAAATCATTAGACATAACGCACGTCAAAGTACTTACACAGTCATGTATTTACAGAAATAATTTCGAGAAATTTAAAATTAGAGTTAATATATGGTAAAAATTGCAGATGATAAATTGCAGATAGTAAAAATTGCAGACCTCTCGTTTCTTTAGGAAAATTATTAATAACATAATTGTAGTTTCTTTGTTTTTCATCTTTATTATTAATGCGTTATTACGAAGGCTGGCAGGAGAAGAGCGTTTCTATTTGGGCAATTACTAAGAAAATGGTATAATGATTTTCTCGGAAATATATATTATCCACCAAATGTGTACGCGCGTAGTACGGTACTTCCCAGGACTAAGATGACTCTGCAAGTGATACTTGCGGCACTTTACCCGCCAATTGACAGCAGACAAAAATGGAATGAGAATCTATCTTGGCAACCAGTAGATACGATTTATACTAGTTCATCTCAAGATAGTCTATTGTTTCCATACAACTGTAAAGAGTAAGTAATTGCTCTTTTTTTTTCAAAAAAGTCGTATGTTTCTCATTTATTTCAGTGTAAATAAAAGTTGCGACGTTTGTTCGATTAATCAGTCGCTTGAATAGAAAAAATTGTAATTTAAATTCGTTTTAGTCTTTCGTTGCTTATGAAACTTCGCTTCCCACGTATGTCTTATAATCTTATTGCAACTTGGGGTATAATTTTAATGTTATATAAATTAAAGGAATTCTTGAAACATCGTGAGATTCTAATTCTTCTTAATTTCTTTCTTGATAGGTATCGTGAAACTTACATCAACATATTACACAGTAATGCAGTGATAGCTGAAATAGAAGCGTTTAATGACACGATAAAAGATTTGTCAAAATATGTAGGAAGAAATATTAGTGGTGTTTATGAACTCTCTGCTCTGTATCATATTTTGAGCATACAAGCATCTATGAACCTAAGTTTACCCAAATGGTCCCACGACGTGTTTCCAAGCGGCAGACTTTTCGATGCAGCAATGCTCCAATATAAATTATACAACTACAATGACAAGCTCATTAGACTTAATGGAGGCAAGTTTAAGTCACAAGTGTACGAATATTACAAATTGTAATTTTACAAAAGATTAATAGAAATAATCTTGCGATCATACCAATTATGAAAATTTCAATTAATTATTCCAACTAGACGAGAGATTTTGAATAATTAATATTTACACGATCTAGTCCAAACTGCTCATAAATTTTATACTTCTTTTTCTCAAGATACGCGTGTATTCCTTTTTAGGTATATTGTTATACAAAATACTTCAAGACATGAATGGAGTGATAAATGGAACTTTATCAGATAGAAAGATCAATCTCTTTTCCGCACATGACGTAAACGTGTTCGCGTTTTTGCGAGCTTTGGGTATATTTGATAACAAAATCCCGGCATTTACAAGCAGCGTCATCGTAGAGCTGCGCGAAAAGAACGGCGAATATTTCGTTCGAGTAAGTGTAAAATCGTTGTTACGACAATCTCGCATCTTTCGCGATTGATGTTACACGTGACGTCTCGTTGTTTCGTCCGCCCGCGCACGTCGATTAACGAGTGACAATAACGCGTAATTTACACTTTTCCAGGTGTTACATTATTTAGGTATACCATCAGTTCTATCGCCAGTAAGAATTCCCAACTGCGATGTGCTTTGCCCGTTCGAGAAATTTATCCGTTTGACATCGGCGACGACTGCGACGCACGAAGATCCTAAATGCCCGCTGACGATTGCTATTTACTAATAACGATCTTCTCACGTGACGTGACAATTATTATTCCTGCTACGTAAAAACAATTTATTTTATATCTGACCGTACTGCGAAGTACGAACAATGAACAAGTAGTTCGCCTTCGTAAGTTTCCATAATCTTTTTAACCGGCCATTATATTACGACGGTGCTATCTGCCGAATGGCAGCGTTTCGTTACGTTTCCTCATTATACGCGATATCGTAGCGTTGAAAACTAGATGCCCATACGCGCGATCGCGGAAAGTTAAGTTCGTTAAGTATGCCCGTAGTCGTGTCTTATCGAGGACACCGAGCTCAGATCCTCCGCCTACCGTGCCGCGGCATAACAATTACCCTATTATTTCGCACACACCACCGCCGGCAATTCGTTGGGCCTATACACCGCGCATTTCCGTTTCACGATACACCTCCGACTTCCATTAAGGGTAAATCTTTTTGGCCGTTGTGTAAGCTGATATCAGCGGTTGAGGTTTAATTCCGCCATTTCGCTGTTATTAACGCTCACGTCAACGCACGATGGACAATATTTGAAATCTATTCGCCGTCTGTGTTTTTCTTTTATAATAAAATACTCGTTAATAGTATTATTATTGTTATTGCCGGTTGTAAGAAGAGCCTATGCACTTGACGGTATGGATAAGCCACGTGAAACGAGAGACATTTTTTTATAAAATGTATGGAGAGTACAGCGTACAATATAGATACAATACAATATAAATATACAATATAGATTTTTGTGTGTGAGCATAGTATTAGAGCAATCGTTCTCTGAATTGTTTAAATTATCACAGAACTCCTCGTCGGGAGAATAGAAGGCTTCAGCTATTCTAAAGACGAACTTCGTCTCCCTTTTTCCCCTTTTCTTTCGTACCGGACCATCCTTTTCTATTATCCCTTTTTCTCCTGTAATCCTTCCCTCGCTCCTTCGGGATAAACTCTTGAAATTTCCGAGAGTTGCCCGGACGAGAAGAACCAGTTCCGCACTCCTAATTCTCCAGAATTAAACTCGCGAAATCGTTCTAATTGCGGACACAGAGTGTCGAGGCACTTACATCGAATCCTAGTTGCATTGTCCTTTGCCGACGTAACACTACGATCAAATTAATCACATCGATCGAGCGTCGCTAAACATCCGTTAGATTATATTTACGCCGATGAAAAGGCGGGCTAATTAATTAAATCAATTTCAAACCGCCGATGAAAATACGTTATTCCATACATGCACGCACGCATACGTTAACGCAATGCGCGAAACGTTCCAGAGAAAAATATAAATATTTTCCCAAATTGGTAATTTGTTGTTGTTATAGACTGGAACTTTTTAATAATTGACGGTAAAATTGGTGCGAAATTTTGCTAGCCTGCTCTCATAAAATTTCGTTTCGCGCATTTTTCGGACTTTGATGCGGGGGGAATTTGCGGACTTTTAGTGCCAGACGATCGCAATGTGGACGGAAAAGTGTAGTAGCTGGCAAAATGTTCGCAATGGAGAAGTGTCCTGAGGCCACAGAAGAGACCAGCTACAGTTCTTTTCAACTACAGTTTCTCTATACTTGTATTCCCTCTTTCTACCTTTCCCGCTGCTCTCTCGCGCGTTCCTTCCTTTCCCTCTCTTTTAAAACAGAGAAACGCGTGATTTTTTTTTTCACGCATAGATAGTCTATAAAAGTATTGAATAGAGCTAAATAGAGAGTACCTTAAGTTCCCAGAAAGAGAAACGCAAAATTTCAACGAAAGAACCGTTTCGTGCGAAACTTGGCTGCAAAATGCACGATTTAATTGAACATTCATAATAATTTGTCTGCACAAGAGAGTCCTAACTGAAACTCCATGGTAGCGTCGCATGCGCGATTCGTCGGCGGCAAGGAATTAGCACGAGCCGTCGGGTAGACAATAAGGAATTAATTATAATTAACTGCCATTCACAAAAGTTCGCCCGCGAACAATTTTGTGGTCGCAGTACCGGTTATAATGAACTCACCTAGCAGCTCCTATCATTTACATATTCTTACATTCAAACTAGGTTTTCGTTTGGCTGCCGCGTTAGTTCGCGCGACAACCCTGAGAAACTTCTTTAAATTATGCTCTTTGGAATATACATACCTTTGGTAGAACGGAGAATATAACATCTGTCGGAAGCTTTCCGCTGGCTCGCTGGAAAGTGGATTGTTACGATACTTATAAAATAAATATGCATCCATTCGACAAATTACGGTCGTTAAATTTCTTACCTAACGAAGAAACGGCATATTTGCATACAGAATAATCCAATGTCTTTATCTCATTAAAGTATATGATATTTTTTACGTTAACAGATTTGAAAGAATTTCATCAGTAATTGATGAGTTTTTTTAACAGATTTTTTATATACACTATCTATAATACAATATATGTTGTTGTATGATATTGCTGAGCAATTCGAAAAATTTAACTATAGTAATGCTGCATGTGAATATATTAAGTTAACGTGGGTTATAGTATTATTTTAACTTCGATTACATATTACGAGTACGAAACTGGTATATACTTTTTACTGACCGATATCCTCTCGCACACCCGTATCGTCGTCCACACGTCGCAGCTTTTCTTCATTTTAAGAAGTAGCACTAGCCATGTGGTCCCCGTATTTACGACTTCATCCTACAATGATGCTGCCCATGCTGCCCCATCATGTTAATCAATGCCGCGTGCGAAAACTCGTAAAACCATGACGATGTTAGATGTTATTAAAAAAAAGAACAAAAGAAAAAGAAAAGGGAGCAAAAAGGGGAAGGAAACATGCATTTACACACATGCAATTTCGATCTAACACGCAACGTCGGAGAAATATCTCTGCAAATTTGAAATGAACATATTTTTTTAATCAAACAGATTTTTCCACATATTCTTATGAAAACGCTCACTGGTTGGGTAGTTTATAGAAGGAACCTTCGCAAGAATCTACTTTTTTTACGACTTTTCCGGTACTTTCGATCACATGCTTTTCCTACTTTCCAAGTAACGTTTTGAAGACCTTGTGCCATTTTTTTTATAACAATCGATTTAAATTCATCTTTCGAAGATTGTTTCCCTGCTTGAGTTCTCCCGCAAACTTTCAAGCGGGTATCCTATGCAGTTAAGAGTTGAAAAATAAGTGTTTACTACATCACATATGTGAACGTATTAAATAATGTAAGTGTTGTACATACATACGCATGCAACATATACACACGCATGCACACTCACACACACACACACACACACACTTGGTTGACATTCATTCGGTAGTGCATTATCAGTTCGCTTCGCGCTCATAGGAAACCGCAATTTCCACAAATTACACGGATGAAAACTGACTCTTGCGACTGTACACCGCCGGCTACAGCGCAGTGGAATTCATGGGTCGCGGGTTATGCCGCATTCGGTGGTATGTAGTAATTAGCAACATTGCTCTCAGATCTCGTAGATGGGAGGATCAGGGAAGGGTCGAGGGAATGGGGGAGAGGGCGGGAGGGGGAGGGGGAGTATGGAGGCTGGCGAATCCACCGCCGCAGATTTCATTCGAAGGAATAGAACGCACAGCGGCGATATTATCTTGCCTGTTGTGTTGCGACTATGACGTTTAATGATCGGGTGCGTTGAAACTCGAAACCGCCAGAAACTGCGACAAAAATATTGCGAACGCTTGCTGCTCCCGAATGCCAGATCCGTCCGAAATGACGGAATTTCGTGAAATCCGCGCAAAAATTATCATGTCGACGTATAACTCGACAGGACACTTACGACGATAATTATCCAAAGCTCACTATCCTAACAGCCGCTATTAGCTCGGTATTAGTTTCAATCTGGATGGATTCGCTGCCGTTATCCTACTTGCGGCCGAAGACTAACAAGAGAAGATTTTGCGTAAGATTAACATCTTTCATTCCTTTTCTACATGAACGTTAATGTTATGAAAGTTAAACTCACCGTCAAAATGATTCTTTATCGTATATTTATGAAACACATTTAAAAAATGTATTAAAGATAAGGATACAGTACATCGCAAAAACTCGGAAACAAAGGTAACTTTTATTAACTAAAAGTGATATTAACTTTGCGTGTATATTTAGTCGCGTCTTACAAAAAAAAAAAATATTCTTTAAGTCGAAAGGTTACGTTCAATAATATGTAGTTCAAGGTACTGCCTCTGCTAAAAAAAAAAGTGATAACTGTCATCTCAAAGTCATCGGAAACAGAAAAATCAAGGATAATTTTATAACTCACACGTTTATCGGAAATAAAATAAGCTAAAAATAAACAAGATATTTTTTTAAATAGCGATAATTAAAATACTCTTTTTTTGGTTTCCTCAAAAAGCCTTCTTTAAGACATTTCTTTCGACAATTTTCTCCAATTTTGGAGCAGCTTTGCCTTCTTTTACGACGTGCAGCTGCCTCCACTCAGCCTCTCTGACATGCTGCTTGACCCTTTGCAAATATTTTTAATTGGGATTTAATAGTCACAGCTATTACCTCCATAATTTTCAACACTGAGTTTTTAAACCATCGTTAAAAATCGTTAAAAATGCTGGCGACTATTAGCAAAAATTTCAAGAATTTTTGAACCACAGAACAAATAATTTTATGTGAATTGTCATATGATGCCATTAAAATTGTTATATCCTTGTTTGATGTGTGACCATTCAAATAACGTTATAAAAGAATTTCTTTTGATCAATCTTCATAAATGAGGCAAAGCGTATCTTGAATTTTTTTATTAAGTGACAAAGGGTGATCGAATTTATCGAGAATTTTTTCATCTACCGCACGTCGCCATGTATTGGTCGCCAATACATCATAAATTCGCGTCTAACGGACAATTATAGTACATCAGTTCCTCGTTTGCGGAACTCGCACTTAATCACTATATATTTAAAATTAACCATGCGTATACTCGTCGTTGTTGTTTATAAAGTGTCGCGATTCTATGTGTTCACTATACGTTTGTCAGAATTTTGATGGAAAAACTTCGTCTTGTCGCACGTGTGGCATGTTCTTTCATTCACCCCCTCGTTTATCGTGTTTCTTGGTTTTCTTTTCTCTTCCCGGTTATTTATTCTCTTTCCCACGTGTTTCGCTCCCGCCGATCGGAATTGGTGAAGTTAATATTTGCGTTTGTATATTTTTCGTTTCCGTTATGTCCGTTTCTTTTGTCACGGATTGATCCTACCATCCTGTCGTTATCCTCGTTTGATTCGTTTGTTGTATACTCGCACAGTCGCAGTCGCAAGACTAAAGTCTGAGTCTAGTTACCTTCTCAATAGGTCTCTCCTCCTCGTAATGTAAGTTGCAATATATTGATCTATTGTTTCAATAAATCACTCAACACTTTATTAAAGTAAATGTTCAATAATAAATTGAGAACTTTTAGAACGTCTTGTGTACTCTCACCTCAATCATTTCTTATAATTCTATCGAACCTCGCTCTCTCCTGTGAAGAGACGAGCCAGCCGCTCACCGGAAACTTCCTTGTTTCGTCCGGTATCTACTACGATATTCAAAATTCTACTGGCTTCTGCCCATAGGACGCGGCAACGCTTGCCACGTGGCGAAAGTTCGGGCAGTAGCCATTAAACGTCTAGTTCTTACGGAAAAACGGCATGTTGATTGACTACCGCGCGAACTTTCGTCGAACGGTCCTATAGGCAAAGGCCATATCTCGCTACCTGAACTCTCGGTATTTTTAAGTGGGAAGCACACATTTCGGCATATCGCATGAAACGGGGTCTGACGGGGGNAGCTTTAAGAAATTGACCAATCACAGTCAAATGTGAGAAAAATAATCAACTATGACTGGTCAATTTCTCAAGGCTTAAATACCTATTTTAGACCAAAACTTATACATTTTACTTTAAGCCCGTATCAGATCTGAAAGTTCATTAAATTTCATTAAACTCGAGTTAATTTTACACTGATTGACCAAATTCAATCTCAACTTCCAATCCGTAGTCTGATACGAATTTTACGTGTCGCGATTTCATTAGAAAATTTTCATTTTTCACATTCCCATCCTAGAGGAAAAGTTATGTGATCGACCCTGACTAAAAACATAAATATAAGCACTGAAAGTTATCTAAGAACCGTTTTTGCATTGTAAACATATATCTTTCATAAATATCCATTAATAAAAATAATTGTAACTTTGTAAGCCACTTAAAGTTTTTAAATTGTGGTGCTACTTAAAAAATTCAAAGTGATTTTGTTCTACAAAAAAATCCTCTTCTATTTTTATCGCAAGTTGTAGCTTGCACAAAACAAACGAATATGCACTTTTCAATTATTTTGTTTTACACTGTCAGAAGCATTCCAAAAATTGTGCAGATCAGTGCACTGAATATTCTGTATATAAATTTTATATCCAATAACTTAAAAAGAATAAAGAATTGCGTAACAACATAAAATATATTTCTTTTCACCCCATATGTATATAAATATATGTCGCAAGACCCATTATTACGAACACATAACAAAGTACAATATACATGTATAATATTATATTATATATTTTTAGTTATTGTTCTAAAATATTAGAAAAAATAAACAAAAACAAAATATTTACATGCTAATGAACCTTCTTCGTTGCAGCAGGATTTAGAATTTTGCGTCTTTGCGCAAACATGTGCATATAGAGCTTAGGGAAAACTGCAAAGAATAATATATAATTAATGAGTAATGAATAATGATGAATAACTAATAATCTAACATCTTTTCTATGTGCATACTTGGGACACTTACTTGGAATATACGATAACATAGCTCCTATTAGCAGATATAAATAGCTAAATGTAAAATTCCATGTATTTGGCAGAACATAACTCCATGCATTGGAATAAGCACTGGCGTATTTTACAGCAGCATAGTAACATAACAATTCACCAGTTATACCAATCGGATATAATATGATAAATGTGGTATACCTGAAAAATTCCCAAATTTCATTTCCATTAATATAAATTTGCATGATTAAAGTCCAATTGAAATAGTACAATATCTAGAACTTCTTAGAACTGTAACTTTTACAAAAAGTTTTTGATCATGGTAAAGAATGTATTACCTCAGCCATATTATTATATACGGTACAGCATTAAGCAGATTCAAAAAGTAATAAAAGTATCTAATTATCTCTGTAATAGACCATGCTGTGAGAATTAGTGGAATTCCTGGAGATGCAGCAGCATATGTGTAAGGAGTAGCTAGGATGACTCCTACTACAATCATAATACGACTCAAAACTTGAAATATTGTAATTATAGTATTTGATGGTACTAATCCAGTTGCTGCGTGCATTATCTGAAAAGCAGGAATTTCTGTAAGAAACTTATGAAAACTAATGAAAATTAATTTTTAACCCTTTGCGGTCGTATGTCTACTCTCAGCCACCAAAGCCTTTTTACCGTTCCGGTCGTGTGTCTGCTCTCAGCCACCACAGCAAGGAACCATACGAATCCTATACTGTATGCATTCATGTATCAGTTTACACTTTTTCTAAACAAATCTCAATGCCTAAGAAACCTATTCACGAACCAATACGGTGCTCCTATCAATTGGAGATAACGAAATCCAATGTAAACAAAAGCTGTCACCCAGCGCTCGCCATGCAAGACGCAGTGGCGAGTCAGTCGTCTTTTGAACGTAACGAAACCTCTTGAATACTGACTCTGATAGAGAAAGTAAAATGTAAAAAGTAAAGATTGTAGTGTATGTTCAAACAGAAAGATTAAGGGCGGAAGGCACCAAACCAATTATTTTTGCGATACATGCACTCGAAAACCAGGCCTGCAGAATGGTTGGAGAATGTTTTGAAAAATACCACACGATGGAAAATTATAAAACATAATTTTTATACAAAAACATATTACTAGATGACTGTATTGAATAAAGATATATCTAAAGTTCACAAAAGAATTACTAAATCTTGTTTATCCATCGTAATCTTGCGTGTTATGTATCCCTGCTCTTTCAACCGAAATTAATTCCGACCAGTACGATACCCATGTCCAAATTTAATATGACCGCAAAGGGTTATTCTACCAAGAAATCACATAATATAATATTGTGTAATTATTTCCCATTTCCCGGAAAAATTCACATTAAAAAAAGTTACTTTTTAATTAAAATTCTTTATATTATATAATCTATTTAGGCCTATCATGAGAAGTTTTTCAAAACTATCCAGTTTCAAGTTTTAATGAATTTCTACTTATTTTTAATTATATTTACTTATAAAACTTAATAATATATATAATAGATCTTTTAAATAAATACTTCTAAAACAGCTGCATTCTGGAAAACAAATAGTGATAATTCCACCTTATTCCACAAGGTAGCATCCAAAGAAGAATTAGTATGATGTTGTATAAACTGGTATAATATATAACTCCATCTGAAATGAATAAAAAAGAATTTAATGTTTAAGCAAGTATATTTTAAAGCGCTACTCAAAGTATGACAAAAATGTATGTAACAAAATGAAGGAGAAGAAAAAGATTCGGTACACAGGATATCTTTGAAAAGGCAATGAATTTGCAGTTTGTTGTTTTGCAAATATGATAGAAGAAATTAATTTACCCCAAAGTTTGTCCAAGATTATATAACGCTAGATAAAATTTCGCGAGAATACCAGGTTTCTTGGAGTTTACTTCAGTCATATTTACGTGATAGTTCCTCACACTGAGTTTCACAGCGCAGCTTACGACACGACGGAATGAGTGGTGATATTCACACAAAATGAATGCCAAGAAATATTACGTACTAAATCATCATAAATATACATCTTTCTTCCTAGTGTAAGTAAATTTATACACATAGATTTCTTATGTGGAGGTCATACCACTTAATTATTAATCGATATTGCAAGCGTAATAAAAAAAATTTTCCCACGGTAGAATCGGAAAATGACTGCTGACGCAGCGTATATTAAATGCCATGATTTCGAAAAATCGTCATTATAGGTCTGTTCGTTTTCGCTGCACAGTTGAACTAGTGTAATAAGTTGGAGCGAGACAAGTATATGTTTCACTTCAACTTATTGCACTAGTTCAGCGGTGCAGCGAAAACGAACAGACCTAATGTCTTCGACGATTTTCAAGTTAAGGCTAGTATTACATGCTGATATTACACGTCGTACGACGAGCATCGCCGGGTGTACTGATTGGCTGTTAGATAGAGCATTTCAAAGGTCCCTAAATTTTTCTCTAGACACATTAGAAATTCTCTATCTGACCATCAACCGGTATATCCGACACTTGTCGTACGACGCATGTAATATCAGCCTAAAGCCCGTATCAGACTACAAATTGGAGATTGAGATTAAATTAAATTTGGCAATCAGTACAAGGTTAATTGTACTCAAATTTAGTGAAATTTAGTGAACTTTCCACTAATTGGTTAAATTTCAATTTAACCTCAATCTTCAGTCCATAGTCTGATACGAGCCTAAAATTATGTTAAGTGCGTTCAGAAATATACCCGCCGTTAAAAAAACATTTATTTGATCAATCATGATAAAGAAATCTTAATTATTTTTCTCTGATTGGTCAATTAAAAGTCATTCTACTTTCAGTGTAGTGTTTCCGAACACAGTCTAAATATTCATATAATGCATGATGCGCGACGCGATGCGCGATTATATGCGACACACAACGCGCGATATCCAATGAGCATACTGCTCTTCTGGAAGAGCAGTATGGTCATTGGATCGCATGTCACACATTGCGTCGCGCATCACACTGGTCTGTAAGATTCAGTTTGAAAATAAAATTTTAGCTCTAGAGTTTCTGCTCTACACAATTTTCGTCTAAGTAAACTATCTCCCATTTGGTTGTTAAACTTATGGTCGTACAACACGTTTTCGATCGATGGTATTTTCATGCTGTTTTATGAATCTTAATATCGACTGCAGTAACTATCGTTACAAAGAATTTTTATAGGATGTATAATTACATAAGATGTCTGGTTAACTCGATAAAATATCGCAAGAAATTTTTTACGCCGGTGATTTGTGATAGGATTGCAGCATGTAATAACATATATTGCACAAATGTTTCATCGTTTTGGAATAACGCAACGTGCAAACGATTTTACTGTCGAGTTCCGATGCAGGACGTAAACATCCCGACGAATCCCGATGACAAGAATATTGATGTCGCTCAGCAGAAACTCGATGAGTTTCTATCCAGTCCCGACAACAAGAAGTTTTTTGAAGTATTACAATTAGAAGTAGATGTTATGCGACACGATGCTGAGAAAGTTCCTGATAATATTAATACAAAACAATGGTTGGAACTGTTAGATATAAAGACCAGAACACAAAGAAAGTAAGTGTTTTCATTATATCTTTAAATAGTTCTTTTCAATTTATATTGTATATGTTTTTATGATATTTTGTAGGAAGTATCTTAACTACTTATTTCTCAATGAAAGAGCAAAACAGAATAAAAAGATGAAAAAGGAGCAAAAAAAGGAGGAATGGCTAGCTAAAAAAGCAGAAAAAGAACCTAATGAGACAAAAGATCCTAATGAGATCAAATATGGACTTTGTCATAATTCACTCTTTCTGCGGATATATGACAAAAATATCAATCATTTCTATAACTCTAAATTAATTTGGGGTATGATGTTTGAACCTAAAGTTGTGTTCGATTGCAGCTATGAGGATCATATGAACAATCTTGAAAGTCACAATTGCGCCAAGCAATTGACTTTAGCATTTGCTGTCAATCGTATCCATGAGAATCCTATGTTTCTTCACTTTTGTAATTTAAAAGAGGAAGGAGTACTTAAGAAATACTTATGTCGCAACGTGCCTAATTTAATGGATGTAGATTTTCCAGCTGTTGTAACATCTCAGTCTTATTTGGACTTTTTTCCAAAAGATCAATTAGTATATCTTACTCCACACTGTAGAACCAATTTGGTCGAATATGATTCTGACATGGTATACATCATAGGTGCAATGGTAGATAAGGTAAACTGTTCAGGCATTCTATATTCATTATTCTTAATTCGTTAATTCATCATTATCATTTATTTCTTCAATTATTTCTTCGCTTACAGTCGAAACCACAACCTTTATCTTTGGCAAAGGCTAAGAAAGAAGGCCTTCGTATGGCAAGACTACCCGTTGAGAAATATCTTGATTGGGGTTCTGGATCAACAAAAAATTTCACAATCAATCAAGTGCTTTCTATAATATTAGATTTGAGGCATACAAAAAGTTGGGAGAAAGCACTTCAACATATACCGATCAGAAAGTTAAGAGAACACAGAGAATATAAGGGAAACCAGAAATTTCGTTCAATATCCAAATTAATTGAAGGAATGGAAAGTTCAGAAATGAAAAATAAGTTAGTGGAGGAAATTCAGATCCCAATGAAATCGTCTAATGTAAACAATTTCACATTTGCCACCAGAAAAGAAAAATAATTATGTAAGATAGAAGATGTTTGCTATGTAAGATAGAAAATATCATTGTATGTGTCAAAGATATATTAAAAGACACGTTCAGTTTCAAAATAAAAGAACTTGTAATTCTGCGGTTTTTCGCATACGTGTGTGTATGTGTGTGTTATACTGAAGTTTGAATTTAACAAAGAAAATGATAATTTTTATTTAATCATATAAATTGAATCTGACAATGCGTTATTTAAATTAATAAGCTGGGAGGGCCCGTTATAACGTTAGGGTATGATTGCACATATCCACTCACATCGGCCGGTGCCCGAGAATCTTTCCGCTGAACCTTCAATTAAAAAAATTTTAGGTTAAATTAGTCAATCATCTACGTGGGCCATCCATTTATATGGAGCTCTCCCGAGCTTATTTATAATATTGAGTTGTTCGGAAAATCCGGAAAGCGCGGATTTTCAAGCAAATTTCCAATGTAAGATTTTTTTTAGTTAACAATAATTTTAATCTGTAATATATGCGCCATTTTGTTGTACAATAGTCTTCCATCTTTCGGGTAATCTCATAATTCCTCTCTCGTAGAAGTCCTGGGTTTTTTCAGCGAAGAAGCTGGCTAGGTAATTTTTGAGATGTTCCAAAGAAACAAAACGTATACCATTAAGGGAGTTCTGCAAGGACCGGAATAAGTAATAATCGGAAGGTGTTATGTCGGGTGAAGATGATGGGTGAGGCAAAATATCCCAGCCAAACTCCAACAATTTTTGTCGGGTCTGCAAATTAGTACGAAGCCTGGCGTTGTCATGATGGAAAATGACGCCCTCCAGATTGACTAATTCCGTACATTTCTTGTTGACTTCTGCCCTTAATTGGTCTAGTTGCAAACAGTATTTGTCCGAATTGACGGATCGGTTGTTGGGTAGTAGCTCATAATGTATGATTCCCTTCCAATTCCACCAAATGGAGAGCATAACTTTCTTCGAAGTAATTAATGGCGGTTCACCTCGCTTACTCCATGACCTCTTTCGCTCAATGTTATTGTAAATGATCCATTTTTCATCGCCTGTTATAATTCGTTTTAAAAATGGATCGTCTTCGTTGCATTTGTATAGCATATTGCAGATAGAAATGCGATCCATGAGATTTTTTTCAGTCAAATTGTGCGGTACCCAAACATCGAGCTTCTTCACCACTCCGAGCTTGCTTAGATGTTCCGAAACAGTTGATTTGCCAATTTTTAACTTCGCTGCAATTTCCCGAGTTGCTATTTGCCGGTCGGAAGCGATCAAAGCTGTTATTTGGTCGACATCCGTGGTAACTGGCCGACCAGAGCGAGAAGCATCTTCGATATCTACTTCTCCCGAACGAAATTTGGCAAACCATTTCTGACACATGCGTTCGCTTACAGCATCCTCTCCGTACACGGCACATATCTTGTTTCGAGTTTGCGTCGCGTTTTTGCCGTTACGGTAATAAAAAAGCATTATACACCGAAAAAACACGTTATTTCCTTCCATTTTCAAGCTGATGCCAGGAGAAATATTTTTATTTGATCACAACTATTATCATAAAAATATGAGTCAAACGTCACACTTATTAAAATATATATGCATTTGACACATTGTACTGAACTAACCTTCTAAAATTTGCATTTGAACGCCATTTACTAAAAAATCCGCACGGACTTTCCGGACAACCCGATATATAAATTCGCTTAATATTCGTACATATTATATAAATTCGCTTAATATTCGTACATATTATTATCATCATAGTTTATTATAAATATTTTACCTAGCATTTCGAACCAATTTTTTCTTCAAATGATTCTTCAAAGAAAGACTTTGATAATGTAGCGTCTCCGTACCGATGTACTATTGGTGCACAGAATCTACTGGAGGTAACCAATAGGATTGAAATTCTCTGACCGTGAGACAAAGGATATTTAAAGCTGCATTCGGAAACACCGGGCTGCGTTCCAAAATCCTATTCAACAGGTAAGTAGCATTTAATTAACCAATCATGATAAAGAAATCTTTGCTCTTTTTTCCTGATTGGTCAATTAAATGTTACTCTACCAGTCGAGTTGGGTTTTGGAACGCAGTCTGTATGATTGCTTACTCGCGCCCTCTGGAACATTCCACTACTACTGCTATGTATCGGAAATATATATATTAAGATAGCAAGAATGATTGAGAGCGATTGTCATTTTTGACGGGGAGGTCGTCGTTGAATAATCTATCGTTCTACAACAATGTGCGGTGTGTTTTATAATTTATACAAACAGAAAGTGACATTATTACGTAATTGTTGTGTTTATTATTAACATTGTTGCTATATTATTGTAATGCAACAGTATGATACATAATAGGTATTCATATATGTACAAATATATATGTAAATAATATTATTTTTAACATACCTTTAGATCTCCCTGTAAATGACATGATATCTTATGAGGGGAATACATTTGAGGTAGTACCTATCAGCGAAGAAACGACCATTGGAAAGAAGGAATCTATCATCTTTGCTGAACAGTTTGTCCAAGATGTTTGTGACTTTAGTTCCCAGTATGGCAGCAATATTAGCATATCTTACACTGGTTATAATATAGCTGGTAAACCCAGCAAATTTCCAGACTATGGAGATTTTCCACAGGCATTTGTCATGGTATGTTTTGTGACTCTGTTACTTATTCCAACCATGTTTATATTTCTGTTTCTTAGTTACGGCTGGGACAACCTTTTCGGTGTTTATATTTATGCAATTATTTTATAATATAATCATAATTCTTAACTTAACACTGCAATCCTAAAAAATAGGTAGATCTGATATTTTCTGTCTTTATTGCTCAATATACTTTTAGAGAACTTATGGACCATGGTGGGACAGAGCACCTTCTAGACTGATGGATTATATGCCACAGAATAACGAAGATACTGTGAGTCAAGATTACATCGGTATGCAATATTGAGAGCAATAGATAAGAACTTTTGTAAAGAGAACAACTTTCTTGTTGAGATCGCGATAGTAACCGTTATTCTAATTTCTAATTTAAAGTTGTCGAATATAACCACGAAGTATATCCAATCAGAGTTTCTGTGTATGAAACATATAATCCTGGGAGTGTGATTGCAATCTGGGCACAAGACTGTCATGGCCAGTGGTTTCAGTTATGGAATGGACCACCTCAGATTGTCCCTCACAAACCGCGGATATTCTCTCCGCGGTTACAGTTGTGTAATTTTAAGACCAAAACGTTAAGACTGGAGTTCAACCATAGCCTATTAGACTACTACACAGAGCTAGACGCTGTGTTGCTTATTGGTACTACCGAATTGATCATACCCAATGATCGGCAGCACAATCAGAATTTAAGTAACCTATTGCAAGAACTGAGTTGTATTGATTCGCACAATGAGGATATTCACAATTTAACACCGGATTATTCGAACGCGAATCAGGATTTGGCCATCCTCAAGAAAACGTTGCATACTCATTGTACAATATACAAAAGGTATTAAATACAATGATGATTAATGCAGCATAATATTAAACCTTCTCATTTGTATGATAGTAATAAAATGTAACATTATTTGCAGTAAAATAATAGAGAATTTTTCCAAGAGCAAGCTAATATCTAAGTTAGGACAGCATTACCGCTGCATACCGCCTGTTGAGGAAGCATTCAACAGCTTGCAACAATTTTTGCAAGAAGAATTCCCGAAGCTTATAAAGGACATTTATCTTTCTTCGTCATCCTCTTTGTACGGATCGAAGTTATCATCTAATAAAAGTTCATCGTCAGCTCTGAGCAAGTCCAAGGAACCACCATGCGGCAGTTTCTCTGCGCTTCCTGTAAAGCATATATATAATGAGAGATTTATCTTTCGCAACTAATAATACTTAATGCGATATATTTCCATTGGTAAATCTTGCAGGACGAGACGGTGCTGAAAATATTGAAAAATTTAGACCTGAAATCACTGTGTCGCTTATGCAGAGTGAACAAACATTTTAACAATATAGCGCGGGATGCTCTGCTTTACACATGTTTGAACTTGAAGCCATACTGGCACTGCCTCGACACGCAAGCATTGAACAATTTGGCACCTAGATGTCAATATCTGCGACAATTGGACCTCTCATGGTGCGGTAACTACAACATGTTCAAGTATCAAAATATCGTGAGCTTTCTCAACTCATGCGGTAGTCTCTTGACGCACTTACGGTTAAATTGCTGCCATATCGTTAACGATATCGTTATTTACGAAGTATCAAAGATATGTAAGAACTTGAAAGGTACGTGCAAATTTGCTACACAATGAGATTCGCCACATAACGATTTCTGTAATTTCATAACTAAATTCAATCGGTACCATATATTTCAGAATTATGTTTGCGTAATTGCGAGGAGATAACGAGCAAGGGTTTCTCAAGACTCGAGAACCTGGAGTTCCTCGAGCGTTTGGAGCTCTACGGAACGACTATAGAAACTGCGACACTGTGCTCGATACTGCGAAGGAACCCTCGGATGCGTCATTTGAACGTAGCGGGAATGCACGACCGTTTAAACGTGGATGAGGTCGCGGTGGAGTTGGGAAACTCGTGCCCGTACTTAGAGAGTGTGGATTTTTGGAAGGCTCAGACTTTTACGCCGCATGGTCTTCGTGCTCTCGCTCGTTGCAAGAATCTACGGGAGGTGGATTTTGGTTGGTGGTATGTGTTATCATTTTCATCGGCAATGCCTGCCTAGCTATATTTCTTATTATTAAGTTTATGCATTTCTCTTTTGTGTGCATACAAACAACCCCTTTGTCTTATCTTTCACTTTGCGATTGAAAAATAGCGATTATAATGGCTCATAATGATAATATAACAGGAGTTATAATAGAAAATTGTAAGAATTATAAGTTATAATATTATGGGGTGGAAAATGGCAAATTTATAAGAATTTCTTTTCTGCTCTGTAGCGGTGGTATGGGCGCTCCTGGAGATTCTTTGCGCGCACTGTTATCTTCCTGCCAACACTTGGAAAAAGTCTTTCTAGCCGCTCTTCGAGGACTTACGGATCGCGATTTGGAACCGTTGCTGCTATGCCAACATCTGCAACAACTAGACTTATTGGGTGCTCGATCTCTAACGCCAGATATATGTTATGGTTTCTTATTGTGTTGCCCTAAACTGGAGATGATCGACCTGAGTTTCTGCGAAAGCATCAGTGATTCCAAGATCCAGGAATGGCGGCAACAATATCCGCACGTATCCGTCAAAAGAAGCTTTCAAGCGATTAAGCCGATTTAAACATAGACAAATTATAAAGTCAGCACAATGGAACAATTTTAAGGATCAAATTCAAATGCGTAAGATTAAAATATGATACCATAATAAGATTTGTACTGTAATTAGAATAACAAATTTGCCTCTTGATATACATTGATTGTATCGTGTGATATATTATGTAATAGCGTTGTATTAATAGGTACACCAAAAAAATAAACTTTTCTAAGTTTTATATACAAATATATCGTAGAGGGAGAGGGAGAGAGTGAGAAGGGGGGGGGGGGGGTGAGCTGTACTTATATATTCCAAATTAGCTAAAAAGTATTTTCTGGCTGAAAAAGTTGATGATTTATAAAAATTTATACAAACTAAATATTTATTATATACATTTACACACACACACACACACATATATATGTGTGTATAAATTTATTATAAAAATTTACTTAAGTTTTTTTAATGCTCCCTCTCAACGTAGCTTCGCGTATATTTTGATTTTATAATAGGTTGCTTTTATAGTAGAGTAAAATACTCTAAAAGTATTATATTCTCTTTTCCACTAATTCTGCGATAAATTTGAATACAGTTCCTGCTGTCAAGTATCATTCGTCGAGCCCATTCAAACCCACCTAGTTTTGCGAACACACATTACAATAGAGCCGCGCTTCCTCCGACCATCGTCATATATTCTACAGAGTCTAATCCTGATTAATCCATGGAGACTGACAAGTTGTGTGTTCCTTTCAATTGCACCGTGTTACACTTCCTGCACCACTTGAAAAAGATAGGTGTACACCGTGAACTCCGCGGGAAGGAGTGGGAAAGAGAAAAATTGGAAGGAAGTGCCGGAAGTGCACGGCTGAAAAGAACGGGCTTATGAACGACGAGCGGCCGTAGGCGTCCGGCGAAAGGGTCGGCGTGAGTACCGTACATAATTTTCACGCCATTTTTCGGAGGAGCGCGACACTGGCGTCGCGGCAGCGACCATCGTGTGCGTGTAGCGTCGACGTACGGACGAATAGACGGACGGACGTGAGGAAGGAGTGCGAAAGAGAGCAGCAGTAGTGGCAGCAGCGGCAGCAACAGCAGCAGTAACAGCAGAAGAGGAGGAAGAGTGTACGTCCGGAAGAGTGGCGTCGTCGCGACAACCGATACGTTCGAGTACGTTTTACAAGAGAGCACACGGGGCATCTCAGCGGGCCGGATAAACGGGCGCGACAGTACGGGTCATCGTGATTTCTCCATGGAATTAGGTTACCGTCCTCGCTCGACTACATACTATCGGACGGACGGTCGTTACGACGAGGCAATGTGAAACGTACACGGAAATGTGTGCCGTCGCAATCGCCGCGAAGGAAGCAAGTGTCTCGTGAGTCTCGTTTTTACGGTTTTCCTTTCCCCTCTTTTTCTCTGTGTCTTTCTCTTTCTTTTTTTTCTTATTAACCGTGTTGCGCGCGGATTTTCGACCGTGCCCGCGTTCGATGTTGCATCTCGCTCTCTTGCGTGTCCCCCTCGTTCGCTCTCTCTCTGTCTCTCTTTCTCCTTTCCTCTTCCGTCTCCCTCCCCTCTTATACTGTGCGTGTAGGTGTGTGAGTGCGTGGCTCTTTCTCGATATCTCGCGCATGAAGGTAGCAATAGAAACGGCGACTATCGAAGGGCCGTCGTGTTGTGTCAACGTAACCCACGGCAGCGGCGGCGGTAGCGGCAGCAGCAGCAGCACCACCGACGCCTCTTCAGTAATTAACCAAACAAAATGGACACCGAGATAACGATTGAGCGAACATTCGTATGGTAGTCTCTCTTCCTCCCTCCCTCCTTCGCTCGCGCGCTCTCGCTCACTCGTCGTTCGCTGTACTCCGCGTGCCTGGGTGTGTGCGTGTGTGTGTTCCTACGTCCGTTGGATCTTTTTTTTTAATCGTTTTCTCTTAGATGGCACCTCGGAAACGTTGGGATCGCTGTTCGTGCAACTGTAAGTCCCCGCTTTTATCGATCATTATCGAGAATAAATCGCCGGACGGCACTCACCTGTCCGCGCGAGTGCAGCCGCGATGTACGCGCGCCGATCGCGCGTCTGTCGCGCGATATACTCGCGATGCCGATGTTCCCCTTGGCTGCGCCTCCTCGCGCGCGCTCTTTCCCGCAACCTCTCGCCTTCTTCGTCCGAATGTACACACGTTCAGTGAAAATTTCGTGAGTGCGCGGGACGCGCGGAGTAACAGCGTAGCCGAGGGGAACGGACCTTCCACGAGATATCGTTCGGCGTGTCGATTTGTTTCTTTTGTCTTTCTCTTTCTCTCTCTCGGATATACGGGTCATCCGGCACGACGTTTCCCTGCATGGTTTGTTTCCCCGCGAAGTCGTATCGGCCAAACGAATCTTGTCAACCGCTCGACTCCGTTTCGTCGTGCGATCGCGACGATACACCATCGTGCTTGAATTTCACGCACTAGCGTGTACGCGATTATCACGATTGTACTTGCAATGTAAGATTTTGTGTCAGGCGTGTAAGTGTAACGTTACATGTCTTTCTCGAGACAATCGTGCAGGATCGTTGATGATACGGTAGACGATCGCTCAGGTCATAATTGCATATCATTTTCGCGTTTGTGCGCGTGCGTGCGTGTGTGTTTCCACAAAATCGTGATTGCACGATTTTCTACGAGCGCGTCTCGAACGTTCGCAATTTTTCCGTAGCAATTTCTCCGAACGACCGGGGGGAGGGTGCCTCGTGGGAACAGTAGAATGTTCAGTCCGGTGGACGAAAAAATGGGAATCCACTCGGCGGCCGAACGATTACCACTGTTTCGGACGTGATGCAGCTTTCACCGAAAAAATCTTAAAGAGCCGCGATCAAGCGTGACGGGAGAATTGCTCGTTTCACGCGAAGGTTCGTTAGCCTTGAAATCACGAAGGACACGGTCTCTCCCGGGGCTAACAGTTTTCCGGTTTGAGCAGACCTACACACGTCAGGACGACGGCCGCGAACGATTTCGGTTGCCGCGCGTCATGTATGATCCTTCTGCACACGTCGCCGCCGTCGCCGCATTCGGCTGCCATTTGAGCGGTGGTATCGAGAGATGTATTCGAATCGATACCTGCGGAATACGATTGGTTAATCGAATATCCTACGGCGGCTATCGGACTTTATAAGCTAAAATCTGATTGGTCCTCTTTCTGCTGTAATTTCGACTCCTGTCTTGCCGCTACCAATTGCGCGGTGCGCCTTTACCGCGATATTGAATACTCGATGCGTTGCCAGTGTGATTCGTCCGTAACGTTGTTCTCCTCGTCGTGTCTGTCTCTCCCTCTCCTCGTTTCTCTCTCTCCGTCCGTCTGTCTCTTTCTCTGTTTCTCGCTCTCTCGCACCGTTATTGCCTATCCTTTCACTAAATTCGCACGACTCCGTGCACATATACCGACACGCATACATATTACGCGCGCGACACGCTCGCCCGTAAATTTGTCCGTCGTAAAGAGAGTTCGAGCACTTCGCGAGCCTTGCTCCATTTTTCCTTACATCGCCGGCGAGCAACGTGTCGTAATTAGAATTTCATATGTATGAATAGAGACATTGTGATAATCGAAAATTTTTTATTCTTTATCGTCATATGCCGATGATGCCTCTGTATTTATCGTATTACCATTCCAATTACCATATTTCTTTTTATCGCAACAATCAGCATTCTAAGCGAAACGTTGCCTAATACGTGATGCTTTGTGAGGGAAAATATAGATAACGTAACTAGAAGAATTGTAAATAGCCAGTATAAATCGAGTCATCGTCACAATTTGAACACGATGTCTTAGTCATTCGAAGTCATTGTTTAATTTACAATTTTATCTAAAACGATCGAAATATACTGAATCGAAGTCTAGAGTTAATCGAAGTTAGGAGTTGCCACCCCCCCCCCTTTTTTTTGGAGGGAGATGAGGAGCTCTGTACAAAAAGAACGGCTCTCGAAACGATCGTTTTTCTCGTCCAAATTGTGAAGAAAAGTGCGACGCTTCTTCAGTTTCGCGTTTTCTGTTTATTATCAAATTTATATTATCAGATTCACCGATGACGAACGCGTTTACGGAAAACGATCTCAGTATCTTCGCACAGTAAACAATTTTTTGTTAAAAAAGGTCCACTGTTAAAAAATAATATGTTAACGAGGTGAATATATTTAATGTGGATATATGTTAATTTAACATATATCTGTGTACTTTTTAACATATTCCTCATGTTAGAGTAACACAATTTCAGTAGACCATTCGTGACATAAAATTTTTTACTGTATAGGTTTATTCGTTTTATTATCTTTTATATTTTTTATTGTGTTACATACATCTGTTATATTACATACACTATATTTTTTATTATGCCACAACATGCGCGTATGCAATCATTAATTTCATCCAATTTTGGTTTAGGCATTTCCGTGTCGAACGCATCGCACTTAAATATTCGTGCGATACGACCCAAAGCAGCAGATGATTTGTCGATGTATTTTTAGCGCTTAATATGTATACATGCAAAAAATGAGATGCAAAGTTGAAAGATATAACAGATTGTGCAATGCTTATCAGTCGAGTATAGTCTTTCTTTTGCTTACATTTATTTAATTCATAGATTTCTATTTTGTGCTTGAACACAATTCTACTCCTACGTATATATACACACGCACCGAGAGAGAGAGAGAGAGCTTTGGGCTGTTGATTCGACGGTTGTGACGCATAAATATTTTGATAAGATAGCAACGAATCTGAACATGTCTAAACGGAATTCGAACGCATTGATGACGTCGTATGTAGTATATGTCATTTCCTACACTGAAAATGCAACGAACGACGTACATAGTCGGATGGAGGGGACAAAAGGGAAAACGACAAAGGTCGAAGGGAAATTCGACGAGAAAGAATTGAGGACAGATGTACAAAGCTTCGACGCTTTCTTTTCTCCTGTTACCTCCAATTTCCAGCATGTGTATGTGCCTTTGTTGTTTTGGAATTTCGCCAGAGAAAAAAAATGTAGAAAATAACAGACAGTACAAGCGACGATATCTTGTCAAGGAGGGACAACGGTTTGTCACTTTTAATCTCGCATCATGCGCCTTTTCTCTTGCGCGAGATCACAAATTTTCTTCTCCTCGGTCTTTTTGTAAATTCCGGATTCGATGTTTTCCGAGTCCTTGTAACGGAGCAAACTGCAGTTCCTACCTGTCCCTGTAGGTCTGCCTGCTCGACACTCGCTGGAAACGCTTAATCGACAACATAAATTCCGTAGAAACAACTTTATTCCGCTGATACTTCTCGACATTTACAAAACGATGTGGTATAACCAGAGGAGTATATTTGGACTATTTTTTTCTTTCTCGGCAACTGAGGAGAACGCATGCATTTATCTCGTTTAAGAAGCAGTAGTCCGCAAGAAAGAAGAAGCGCACGGGGTAAAGCTAGCGGAACGAACACCCGTCCGCTGGTCTGCCTCTCTTTGCCCGCGCTTACGTTACATTTTCTGCAAAATTAAGTAAATTAAGTACACGCACGTACTCTTTGTACAACGCGACTGTTCAACAATTCCTCCTTGGCGTTGCCACCTCCCTCGGCGAACGGACGGCACGACGGGGAGAAAATAGAAGTTCGCGCGAGACGGCACGGAGAGCGCGCGGATAAACAGAGCAGATCTCAGGAGCGAGTAGTACGTTCCTGCGGCCGCCGCACACCTTCCGAAAGCGCTCGCCCGCTTACTACATAACACGCACACACGTGCGCGTACGGCACGGTGGCCGCCGGCACGAAGAAACGAACGGACGATCGCGCGCACAATCGCTCGCTCGCTCGACATAACACTAACACACACTCATACAGAGAGAGAGAGCAACGCGCTCGCGCGAGAGAGGTCGGGAGATGCGCACGCCGCCAGGTGGTGCGTCGAGCGAGCGTGTGCGGTCGCCCCGTCGCCGCAGCCGCGCGCGCGTGTGCCCTGGCTGCGCACGCGAGAGGTGCTCACTCTCTCGGCGGCCGTAACATACCGGCGATACTCCGGGAAGCGTACGTTTGTGCCAGTGGTGGTGACGGCTCTCCCTGCATGTGGACGTGAACAGGACAGGACAGGGTAAGCGAAGAACAGAGAGAAGAGTAGTCCTCCCGGAGTGGAGGGGGGAGGGAGGAGGAGGAAGAAGAAGACGACGTAGCGAGAGAGACGGAGATACACGTGTATGTGTGTGTATACGTGTGTGCTGTATACGTGCGCGTAGAATGATTCGAGTCTACATGGACACGCTCGCAACACCTCGGCCGCGGTCTCCGTGCCGCCGTCAAAGCCGCCGTCAGTGGAAACTGTGTGAACGCGCGCGCTAACGAGGGTGGTTTTTCCGAGGAGACGCGGGCGCGCAACGGCGCGTCCTTTGGCCGCGAGCAACGCGACGACAGGACGAGTGCTGAAGCGACGGTGCGCTCTCTCTCTCTCCCCCTCCCTCCCTCCTTCATCCATCCATCCATTCGTCCGCTCGCTCGCCCGTCTGCCTGCCTGCTTGCTTGCCTGGGCGCCGCAAGAAAGTGCCACCGCTGGAAAAAGTGCTCCGTGGACGGAATCGGTCGGCCGGTGAAGCGGAGTGACGCGGGCTCTATCCGCCCGATGTCGGAATATCGAGCGTCGCGGTGGCCGTGCGACGACGAATTCTCTTTCGCGGTAGCTCCGAACGGAAATCTCTCTCTCTCTCTTTGCGTTGCTCTCTCTCTATCTCTCTCTCTCGCGCGCGCACGCTCGCGATAATGGCGTACTTTCCGTCGTAGTCGGTTCGTCGCTTTTTTCTCACTCCCTCTTTCACCCGCTCTCTCGCTCGTTGTCGTCGCCGCTGTCGTTTCTCTCATCGGCGCGAGTGATCCGACGACGCTCGTGCCGGAGAGACAGTCAGACCCGCCGTCGATTTCAGCGTATGCCATAACCCCATGACCAGCGGGCCGCGGCGGCTTCCACTTTGCGGCGGTAAAGACGCGGCCGATGAAATACGGTCGAGCGTCGCGAACCGCTGCCGAGAGAGAGAGAGAGAGAGAGAGAGCAGGACCTCCTTTTTTCCTTTTTTCTCGTCGCCGTTCGTTTGGTGCAGTTTCGACCGTTCATTCGCTCGTTCGTTTGCTCGCACTTGCTGTCTCGCGCGCACCGAGTAAGTGTATCTTCGTTCATTTTCCGTGAGACAGGAGAATAGGGACGGGGAATTAAGCACACTTCAAGTAATATCGATAACATTCGTATATCGTATCGTTGCGAAATCTTGCACATATATTATTCGACACAAGGCCGTAAAAGGTTCGAGCGCATTTCATAAAATTATTATTATATTTCGATAACGTTACGTTCCCGAATATCCGTGAAAGATCTCAATATGTTGTGCATGATATTATCATTCGTCATTATCATTCGTTGTGCGAACTCATTGTATTAAATTAGTTTGCAGATCAGTGCGTGAAGTGCATTCACGATTTTTCGAAGTACTGTTCGATTTCAGTGAAACCATACCTCTAGGTATTGAATTCACCGAGATTCATGAGTACATATTGAACTTCGTCCCATCCCTACGCTAGAGACATACATTCTCCTTTTTCTCTCTCTCTCTCTATCCTTTTCACTCCCTCTTTCTCTTTCCCGTTCTCTGTGCGTCGCACTGTATTTGTCAGTGTGTATCAGGTTCGTGTGCCGCTTCAATTTTTTGGTTTTATTTGTTTTGTACCTTTCTCTCTTTTTCCGTACTCGAGCTGCGTCCGCTTCCTTCGATTCGACATTGTATATCGATCGGCGATGCCGCGCCGATTTTCGCCTCTGTCGCATTAAAAAAAAAAGTTACACCATTGTTTGTGTCAGCATTCTACATTGTGATTTGTCACTATTTCGAAAAAGTTGGTTATCGCTGTATCCTTCGACGATTACATTTTACTTTCGTCTTCGGAAGACCGAATCGATATCTTTTTATGTTCTTTTATCTGAGTCAAGAATCACTTTAATTATGCCGGCTGTAATATTGATTTCTATTCTGTCGCTAAAAGTCTTGAAAATTTTTCCGCTCTGTAATATGTAAAAACGATTCTGTCAATATCTTAATGTGTTACCGGCATTTTCACTTGATATGTTAATGTACTTTGCCATTTATATTCTAACATAAAAATAGAATAGTTCCATATAAAAAATGGAAACCGATTTATGTCTTATTCAGTAACGTAGTTACGTAATTATATCGTCCTCGATTCTCGTAATTATTTTTGCTATCTAACTAACGAATACGGATCCATGCATTACCATATATATATATATTTCGCTCCCTTTTTTTTTTTTACTTTATTGTCATTAACAATATCCCATTGCTTTTCATTTGTTACCGGATTTTTGTAGCTGCCGTGTTTTTACCATGTATAAGAATTGATACAATCTAGTTCTGAAGTACTAATATATATATATATATATGTAAGAGTAGGGCAGGAATTTTTGTTTTCAACTCTGATGTATTCCGAGGGGGAGAAGTTATTGCGATTATGAACAATTAAAACCATAAGCGTATAGCTTTTCCCCTTTGGCGTATGTCGCCTCGACGAAAATGACCTCTAGTACAGTAAACAATTCTCATCGTATTGCATGTTACGTTTACCCCGGGGTTTTTCGGCTCGGCGAGGCGTCTACACCGGTGAATTTCTAATTGTTTCAGAGGGCAAAAGTTTGGATTTACCATGGACACGTTACTGGCTATAGAAAAGATCGTACAGTATTCTCTTAAGCCTGGAATGGAGGCGAAGAGTCCTTTAGCGTAGACATGGACTCGTACGATCTGTTTGGTGAAGATGGCAGTGGCTCGATGCTCGACGCTCTTCCTGATCTCGGAGGGAATGATCATTTCGATCCTGCGCCTGCGAATAATTCCGTAGCGGTGTCCAGGGACGGTTTGAATTCTGGCCCTAATGGAGGGAGTTACATTAATCAGTCGTACAATATTTCCCAAGAATCTCCACTTCAAAAATTGACCTCATTCGGCGGATCTGAATTTGGTGGTTCCAGTCAGTTGCAAAGCCCGTCGCAGCGCAGTATGTTTAACCAAAACCTCGGAACGTTCGATAGTAGCGCTCCTCAGCGTGCTATGGTGCCGGGCGCCTTTCAAAACCAGGCCCGCAGTATCGCACCGCAGCACAGGGGACCTCATCCGGGTGGTAGTGGTCAGTATCCTAGCTATAACGACAATATGTATTCCATGGAGCAGCAACACTCGATGGCCAGGGCTAACATGAGCATAGACCCTAGCCAACAGGGTTGGCCGGGCAACGGCAGCGCTTACCCTCAGATGCAGAGGCATTACAATCAGATGGCACCGCAGCCCGGCACGTACAGGCAACACATGCCACCGCAGTATTCTCATCAGCAGGATCAGGCTGGCGTGATTAATCAAAAGATGCAGCAGCAGCAGCAGCAGCAACAGCAGCAGCAGCAGCAGCACTTTAGTAATCAACAGGGAATGATCGGGAACATGGGTGTGCTGCACCAGTCGATGCAGGCCGGCGCGTCCGGCGGTGTCTACCAGCACATGGTCGGCCAGCAGCAGCATTACCAGCAGGGTAACTCGGTGGCGATGTATCAGGCGTCTCCCGGTTACCCTGGTTTCCCGTCGGCGCTTCATCAGCAGCAGCAGGCTCAGCAGGCACCTCAGCGGATGCCGCATCATCATCCGCAGCACCCGACTCACCAGCCGCACCCGTCTCATCCGCAGCAATATCCTCAGCACGCTCAGCATCCGAGCACGCCGCAACAGCCGACGATGGACCCGCAGTATCCCCATCACGCGACGTCGATGTTCAATCAGCCGCAGCACTCGGCGCCCCCGCAGCAATTCGGCACGGCGAAGCACGCCACCAGTCCTCAGTATCGGGCGACTTTCCCCCAGTTGTCGCCGCAAATGTCGCCGAGGCCGCAGATGTCGCCGCGTCCGCCGGCGGTGCAACAGCAGATGTCACCTAGGCCCATAATGTCACCCGCGAAATCCACCACGTTGTCGCCGCATCCGCACGTTCAGCTGCCCCATCAGCAGGGCAACCAGTCGAACGCGATGTCCGTGTCGCCCTGCCCGCCCACGTCCATGCAGATGAATCCGTCGTCGCAGCCGAGCACCCTGCAGGCTCTGGAGCAAATGGTGATGCCGGGGGTTGCCGTGTCCAACTCCGTGCCTGGTTCGGCTCCGGACCAGTACAGTCAGTTCCAAACGCGCCCGCCGATGTCGCAGACACCGAATGTCATGCCGCAGTCGACGGCGCAGAGTCCTATGCCTCCGGCGGCGGTCGCCGGGCCCCGGGTGCCGATGCCCACACAGTGGTCGCATCCGCAGCAGCAACAACAGCCGCCGCCGCCGCCGCCGCAGCAGCAGCAGTCTCAAATCAGGCCGAGCATCGGTGTCAGCGAGGATAGAGGAAGCGGTGGCGTGGTCGAGCCTCAGCAGGCACCCGTTACGTCCGAGCAGAGCGCTCCCGCGATGTTCCCCGTGACCGGGCCGGAGGCGGCTGTCCACGGCATCGCGGAGACGGCGACAACGACGAACACAACGACGACGAGGGATCCGAGCACGACGACAGAGAGCGTGCAGAATCCGATCGAAACCCCAAAGCAGCAGGAGACCGAACCCTCCTTGCATCAGAGCGCTCAGAGTCAGCAGCCGGACGCCGCGCTGGTACCACCGCAGGTGGACACCTCGGCGCCGCCGAGTAATCAGCAGAACAATCTACCCTCGGATTCTACGCCCACATCGGCGAGCATACCTCAGGTGGAGACGGTGCAGTCCCTTCCGGCGTCGAGTACAAGCGGGAACATGGAATGCGCGAACGTGACTACGTCGTTGCAGCAACAACAGCAGGTTCCTGCGCCGATGCAGAATCCCGTTCCCGAGAGTCAGAACACGTGCGAGACGACGAAGCCTCAGGAGCAGAGTATAGAGGTCGGTGCTCTGCATCATCAGCAGCAGCCGTTGAGTAGCACGACTCAACCGGCAATGGGACAGTCGCAAGCGCAACAGCAGCAACAACAACCTATCAATTGTCCTCCGCAGCAAGCGGTAGTGCAGCAGCCGGTGCAGCAGCTTCACATGCCTCAGTCGCAGATGGTCCCGGCTCAGGCGGCGATACCGCCGCCGGCTCAGCCTCTGCAGTCGCCGCAGCAATCGCAGCAGATTGATCAGTCGCCGGCTGTTCAGATGAACCAGCAGCTGCAAACGCAGCCGCCGATACCTCAACCGCAGCAACAGCCGCAGCAAATCCAACAACAGATAGCCCCGACTCAGCAGCCGCAAATTCCGCAGCCCCAACAACAGCCCGTGCTGAATCAAGCTCAGGCGGTGCAGCCGATCCCGCCGGCGCCGCAGCCGCAATTGGTACAGCCTCAGCTGGGACAGCCGCAGCCTCAACTGCCGCAAACACAGCCCCAATTGGTGGGACAACCGGCGCAGGCGGCTCAGCAAGGCCCGGCTTGCGTCACCCCGCAGCCAGCGACACAGCCGCAGACACAGCCGTCTCATATGCCGCAGCAGGTCGGTATAATGCCGCAGAACACCGCGATGATTCCGCCTCAGATGCCGCAGATCCAGGCTCCTCCTCCGATGCAGAATCCAAGCGCGCCGGTCCCGGCGACGCATCTCAACGCTCAACAGATACCCACGGTCAGCCAGACCGCCGGTATGGTACTGCCGACGCATCAACCTGCCGTTCCCGTGCCAAATTCACAAACGCCACATCAGGTACCCCGCTTCTTTGTAACCGTTCTACGAAACTTGCAACAACAATTGTATTTGCGCTACATTGCGTGTTTTTTTTTTCCTTTTTTTTTTCTTTACGATCGTGTAAATGTTATCCGGGATGAAATTTCAAGATTTTGATTATACCTGCAACATGATAACATGTGTTCTAATTATCTCGGTTCTAGTATCACCCCGGAGGCGACATGATCACTGGTAATACCATGCCAAACATGTACAGTATGCCGGCTAATCCGACGCAGGCGCCAGTCGCGGCGAGCGGTTTCGGCACAACCTGCGCGCCGGTCACGCATCATCAGGAGAGAGCGGCGTTGCAACAGCAGTTGCAGGAACTGTTCTGCACACCTCCGACTCCGGAGAATCAGGAGAAGATAGTCGCCTTGCAAGAGAAGTTGCAGGCGCTGCAGCAGCATGAGACGAACGACCAGTGCAACGGCGGTCCGCAGTGCATACTGCAGACGCCAATGTTTACAGCCGCCGTGGTCGACAGTCCACAGGTGGATATTTTATGCTGTTTGTAAAATTTAAAACGTGCTCTAGAATGAGCAAAGAAGGAATGTTCATGAGAAGTAAGAGTGAGAATTTGATCAATCGTAGCCGATTGTTCTTACATATTCGAATATGATCGGTAAATTTCTTATTTTTACTTCTTGTGAACATACTTTTCACTGCCCGTTATAGACTACGCTTAAACGAAGATATTTCCGTGTCTCGTACTAAATGTCGTGCTATTTGACACAGGTTTCTAGTACCACTGGGCGTGGCCGCAGCAAGGGTACACCGCGCGCGAAGAAGAGTCGGAAGAAAGCTGACAAAGAGGCGTCCGCGCCTACTACCATCACTCAGCAGCAACCCGAGCAGCCCTTGTCAGACAATAAAGTTACCCCGGGTGATAGTAGTAACGTTGTAGACAGTGTCGCGGATTCGGAAGACATGAAACCGTCGTCCGGTGATATGGAGGAGGAGTGGAACAAGAGTAGGAAGTCGCGATCGCCTCGGAAGCCGCGGAAACCGAAAGAACCGAAGGAGCCGAAAGAACCGAAGCCTAAGAAAGAACCGAAACCGCCGAAAGAACCTAAGTCACCGAAGGTGGCGAGGAAGAGGAATAAGGACAAGGATTCTACGAAACGCAACAGGAAGTGAGTATGATACATGCACGTAGAATAAAATAGAGAAGAAGATTGTGTTATTGCCGTCCCATTTACATGTTGTACGAAAGCTTTGTTAATAATACTTGAAATTGAAAACTCCAATTACGTTCGTCAAAATATTGCTCAATTCTTCGAGCCAGAGTTATGGAATATTTATTATTTAGGACGATATTTATGAAAATGCTGCAATTGGTCGAAGAGGAACAGAGATGATAATATGACTCTTTATTAAAATAGATTTAAAAAGTTAGTTTTGTTTAAAAAAATATTTTGTTACAAATTTATATACTCAAAATAAACTCTCGTAGAAGAAATAACAATATGAATATGACTGTAAATTTTTAATGTAATATCTGCTTGTTGGAAGGTAGATGCAAACTATCAAAAGGCAATTTCTATAAAATGAATATATACTTATATATACTTTTAAACTTGAGTTATTGATTTATTAACTATTTTTATTAACTACATAAAAATCTCAAAAATGAGGTCGTATTAAATCTATTATCTTTTAGTGGGGCCAAGTTATCAAAATGCCATTGTTTAATTTGGCATAACTCGAAATGTGTATAGCGGAGTAAAAAATTAAATGACGAATAAAACACTCAAGTGTATAAATATTTGTGAGAAAATATATATAATTAAATGCTAAAATGTACCTTGAAAACATTTCAAAATGCTCGAAAGTAAAAATGCGTTGTAACAAATGTCGACGTATTGTATATTGGCATATTAGCGCCACTGCGTAACAACGAGTCATTAAACAAATTATTTCATAAGTAATCGCTGGTATTCGTCATCTAATAGCGGGGATATTAAAGGCAGCCATTAGTACCATCTTCTCCTCTATATATATATTTACTTTTAGCTTACGTGTCAAGAAGGTTTTTACAAGTTTTACTTTAACCATACGTAATCCATCCACATATTATAACTACTTGACTGTAGTTAAAATCTAAAACATAAATATCGTCGCACAAACAATGCTTCTCTCATTTCTATCTTATCTGTCACAGCCTTTTATATCTAATCATTTATCCTTGCTTATCCTTATTTATTTCCTACTTAATTCTTGCACTAGCCCCAAACTATTTATTACTTTTCCTTACATATTTCTTGACTTTTAATTTTCTTTTGCTATATCACTAGTTTTATCTTTTTCTTTTTCTACAACTCCTTTTCTCTCTCTTTCTCTCTCTCTCTCTCTCTCTCTCTCTCTCTTTTTTCTCATAACTTCCGCAATATATTTCCTTTAACTATATCTAACTCATCATCGCATATCCTACTCTATTTTTCGTCCTTATCACTATTTAGTTCTTTAAACCATTCTTTTATAACATTCTTCTATATAATAGTTTACGCAATCTTGTCCTTCTCCACAGAATCCACAACTCGTACATAGAATAAAATACACTCTCATCAAACAATATTAAATTTATTGCTGTTCTTATAGAAAAACTACTCCATCTGAGTCTGCTGACGATGAAGTCGTACGCGAAAGCGAAGAAACTGCCGTTTCGGATTCCAGTGCTGTTAAGGACACCGAGACAAAGGTCTGTGAACCGTCCATTCAAGGTGATCAGGAACAAGTGGATTCTTCTACCACTGAGCCTCTGTTAACTGAAGTAAAGGAAGAGGGAAAAGAGAAGATAGGAGCAGAAGATATTCCGGAGGAAGAGAAAAAAGAGGAAAACTCGGAAGCGACGACTGCGGCCGCTGAAAATGTGACCTCCAATAAAAAGAAACCCGCGCCTAGAAAACGATCGAACACCGGCAAGGTTTCTGCGGGAAAATCTCCCAGAAGTTCCAAGTAAGTGGTAACATTTTTCAATGAGAAACGCAGATAGCTTGAAGTAAGAATTTCTCTCATCGCATGAAGAATCATAAGTAAAATAAGTATAATAATTTCGCGCGTGTTTGTGTACAGGAAACGCAAGAGTCGCATTGCGCCTGATTCCGACGGTGAAGAGTTGGCGGCGACTCCTCCGCCATCACCGGAGGCCGGCGACGACGTAAACAAGAGGCGTTCTGCGAGAAATACTCACCGCAAGAAGTACGTGGACGATGTGATGTTACGATTCTCGGACGATGACGTTCCCATACAAGAGACTCAACTTTCGAAGAAGGTGGAGGGTGCGAACACTTCGAAACCTGCTGCCGCTAAAAAGGAGAACGAAGGCAATGAGATCGGACCGAACAAACCCAACTTTGTGTATATTGTAAGTATTTCTAAAATTGCCAGGTGCGTCTTTTTAAAAATCGGCTTGCAGTACAATGACAACTCCGTTCTCTTTCGTCTCGTAGAATACTACCGATGAGGATTCTATGGTTGTGCAACATATTTTATGCTCTCGAATGGGAAAGAGAGAAATTAAGCCCGTAATACCGGTCACGCCGAAGACGGAACCACCTGCGGAAAAGGATACGGACAAGGAGTCGGCTGAGGACAAGGATACGGCGACCGAGGATCCCGTAAAAGAGGAGGAAGGCGCGGTATCCGAAACGACTGAGAAAGAAATAAAGACTGAGTATACGGAAGAGGAGGAGGAGAAAGAGAAGAAGAAGAATGAGGCCGACAGCGTGAAGGAGGATTCGAAGAAACAGGAGGAACTTCCCGCTGCGGAATCCAAATCAACTACTACCGAGACTACTGCCGTTGTTGAGGCGAAACCGCAGATGATCGAGGTCGAAGAATATTTCGTTAAATACCGGAACTTTTCGTACCTGCATTGCGAGTGGAGAACAGAGGAGGAAATGTACAAAGGGGATAAACGTATTCAAGCGAAACTGAAGAGATTCAAGCAGAAACAGCAGCAGAATACAAACATCTTCGAAAATGTATATTTGAAGCTTATTACTTAAAAACATATATATATATATATATATATATATATATATATNATCAGTAAGAATTTAGAACATCGCGTATTCTATGAATAATATTCTCATTGTTTTTTTTTTTGCTGTCTTTTTTTCCAGACCGAGGATGATCCTTTCAATCCAGACTTTGTCGAAGTTGATCGAGTCTTAGACGAAGCAACGCACACTGATCCGACCACTGGGGAAACAGTCCGGCACTTCTTGGTCAAGTGGCGATCCCTTCAATATGAGGATTCTACGTGGGAATTGGAAGAGGATGTTGATCCTGAAAAAATAGCGCAATTTGCAAGATTTAACAAAGTGCCACCCAAGGACCAGTGGAAGGTAGAAAATACACATCAATGCTTATACTTTACAACATTTAAATAATTGCGGAAAAGAAGAAATTTATGTTATAATACCATTTAAATATCATTTAAATGTCAATATTAATATTATTGTGGACGGATGAATTCAAGTTTAAGCGAATGAATATTTAAGTTTAGTGAAATGACGCACGTGCTGAATATTCCCGAAACAAACATACACGGGGAATCAACCTTTCATGTTTAAATCAATCCCCGAGCCCCAATAATATTATTCACTTATGCTGCAAATATTATTTGGATCGGACATGCGTCATTTCACGCTTAATCTATTCATCTTCTCACAATAACATAATATTGACAATATTAATATTTAAATGGCACTATAATGTACAGGAAGTCCCGGCATAAAAATACCTAAATAAATATCCTTGTTTTTAATGAGATGAAAAAGATTTAAAGCAGAATTTGAATAATTTCCAAAGAGGGGAGAGAACATTTTTTTACAATCATTTTTTTCGATTTTTAACATTTCTCATATTAAAAACAAAAAAGATATTTAGGTGTTCTCCTTATGCCGGAACACTCTATACATTTATATTTTGTTCTTAAAGGCCCGTTAAATTTCTTCGTTTTTGATTAAGACCAAGAAGGATCAGTCTTGATATTTCATTTCACATTGCATTTTTTGTGCAATTCTACTATTCCATTCACGTCGCCCGTATAAACTCTTCGCGATCTTATTTCAGCCGAAGAAGAAACCTAATGCTGCGGCTTGGGTAAAATTGGAAGAATCGCCAATTTACAAGAGCAATAATAGTCTGAGGCCGTATCAGTTGGAGGGATTGAACTGGCTGCTGTTCTCGTGGTATAACGGACACAATTGCATTCTCGCCGATGAGATGGGCTTGGGAAAGACCATTCAATCACTGACGTTCGTGGACGCGGTCTATAAATACGGAATTCGTGGACCGTTCTTGATTATAGCCCCATTGTCGACCATTCCAAATTGGCAGCGAGAGTTCGAAAGCTGGACCGACATGAATGTCGTGGTATATCACGGATCGTAAGTATACACCTATTGATGTAGTCTCTCTCTCTCTCTCGCTCTCGTGCACATCCTGCAAGTGTAAACCGAACGAATCGGCTCGCGTTTGAATTGCAGCGCGGCAAGTCGCACCATGCTTCAGGAGTACGAGGTTTATTACAAGAGCGAGAAAGGACAGCAAATCAAGGATCTGGTCAAATTTAACGTATTGATCACGACGTTCGAAATTATTATAACTGACTTCAACGAATTGCGCGGATACAATTGGAGGCTCTGTGTCATAGACGAGGCGCATCGGTTGAAAAATCGGAACTGCAAGCTCCTAGAGGGCCTCAGACAGTTGAATTTGGAGCACCGGGTGCTCCTGTCGGGCACACCGCTGCAGAATAACGTCAACGAGCTGTTCTCGCTGCTGAATTTCCTCGAGCCGGTGCAGTTCGCGAGCAGCGAAGCGTTCCTCAAGGAATTCGGCAATTTGAGCAGCGAGGGCGAGGTACACAAGCTGCAGCTTCTCCTCAAGCCGATGATGTTGCGTCGTTTGAAGGAAGACGTCGAGAAATCATTAGCGCCAAAGGAGGAGACCGTCGTCGAGGTGGAGTTGACGAATATACAGAAGAAATATTACCGCGGCATACTGGAGAGAAATTTCTCGTTTCTCGCCAAGGGCACCACATCGGCCAACATTCCGAATCTCATGAACACCATGATGGAGCTGCGAAAGTGCTGCATCCATCCGTTTCTGCTGAACGGCGCCGAAGATCAGATCCAATTGGATTACAAGACCGGGGAGAAGGAGGACTCCGAGGCGTACTACCACGCATTGGTGAACAGCTCCGGTAAGATGGTGCTGATCGATAAGCTGTTGCCAAAACTGAAGGCCAGCGGCCACCGAGTCCTGATCTTCAGCCAGATGGTGAAGTGTCTGGATCTGCTGGAGGACTATCTGCTGTACAAGAAGTACCCGTACGAAAGGATCGACGGCCGGATTCGGGGTAACCTGCGACAGGCCGCCATCGATCGTTACAGCAAACCCGACTCTGATCGCTTCGTCTTCCTGCTCTGCACGAAGGCGGGCGGCCTCGGTATCAATCTGACCGCGGCCGATACCGTAATCATCTACGACAGCGACTGGAATCCGCAGAACGACCTGCAAGCGCAGGCTCGTTGCCACCGGATCGGCCAGCAAAAGATGGTCAAGGTGTACCGTCTGCTCTGCCGCAACACGTACGAGAGGGAGATGTTCGACAAAGCCTCCCTCAAGTTGGGACTCGACAAGGCGATCCTGCAATCCATGAACACCAGCCAAGGCGGCAAAGACCCCAGTAACAAGCAGCTGACGAAGAAGGAGATCGAGGACCTGCTGAAGAAAGGCGCGTACGGCGCCATCATGGACGACGACAACGCCGGCGACAAGTTCTGCGAGGAGGACATCGAGCAGATACTCGAGCGAAGAACGCAGATCATCACGATCGAGGCGGAGAAAGGCTCAACGTTCTCGAAAGCGAGTTTTGCCTGCTCCTCGAACCGGTCGGACATCAACATAGACGATCCCGACTTCTGGAAGAAGTGGGCGAAGAAAGCGGAGATCGATACGACGGAGAAGAAAGAGGAGGACGAGCTGGTGATATCCGAACCACGACGAAGGACGCAGATCAAGCGTTACGGCCATGACGAGTCCGTGGTCGACATGTCCGAGCTGGACAGCTCGGACGAGAACAGCGACGACGACACGGGCATCGGCCTGTCCGGCAGAGGCAAAAAACGCCGCGACAAGTTCAACAAGAAGACGCGCAAATTCTACGACGAATACGTGCCGCGCGAGGGAGAGGTGGTTTACGGCAGCTGGGCGCGAAGCGAATGCTTTAAGGTCGAGCGAGGACTGCTGACGTTCGGTTGGGGTCGTTGGGAAGAGATCCTGCAGCACAGCCAATTCAGGCGTGGCTGGCGCGAGGTCGACGTCGAGGACTGCGCGCGCGTTATCCTGCTCTACTGTCTGCGTTATTATCGTGGCGACGAGAAAATCCGTACTTTCATCTGGGACCTTATCACGCCCGTGGAGAACGGCGAGAAGGTGAAGAGCGTGTCGATGAACACCGGCGGCAGGAACAGCAGGCAAAAGAAGAAGGGCCGCGTGCGCGAAGGCAGGGAGACTCGGGGATCCGTCGTCAACGGGGGACCGAGTGACCCGAATCACTGGAGCAATGCCGAGAAGTTCGACGGCGACATCTTCCTCGAGAGCAACTACAGGAAGCACCTGAGCCGTCACGCTAACAAGTATGTGTGAGATAAATATGTAAGCAGAGGGTTGCCACAGACCTGGAAAACCGGGGAAAGTCCGTGAAAATTTAAATCGGTCGGGGAAAAATATTAAATATATATATAAATTATATATATCGTCGTATATACATTATGTTTTATACAAAAGAATGTTGAATATCAATTCTACACGATCTTCAAATAATAATCACAATATATTAAATTAACTCATAGCTATGTCGAAAATTCAATACAAAACTTAACAAGAACCGATTTTAACAAAAAAATATTAATATAAAATGTTTAACTATATATAGTCAAATGTATTAAAAACTCACGTATTTTAAAAATCATTTCTTACGTGTCAAGGATGTGGTAAAACTTAAGCAATAAGAAAAGACCAATCATAATCGATTATTCCTCGAGAGCAATCAAATATGATTAATCAATTTTATTCAGCATTTTTATTCAATCGGCCTTTTCCGCCATAAATTTTTTTTTTTTCAATACTCGTATATTTTTGGTGGCCTGAATTTGCATTTAAGATTTATATTATGTTGCTAAATTCCGAAGTTTGTGCTGTTTCTAATAAGTTATCTTTTTTGCGCTTCTACTTCTATAAATGTTAAAATTTAAGATTACATATTGGTTATGGAAAATTCTTCACTGTCTGGAAAATATGGAAAAGTTGGGAATTTCAAAACTCATTTTCTGTGGCAATCTTGTATAGGTTCTCCGCGAATTTTAGTGGACATGCATATTCCCGGAAAAAAATATCGAGATTCCAAAAGTAGGGCAACATCCCGGAATAACTGAACTGAATATCGGAATAATCTCTCGAAATATTGGAAAAGAATGAAGTTGGCTCGCGGTTATAACTTCTTCCAATATTTCAGGAGATTGTCTCAGTATTCAGTTTTCAGGATTATGAGTTTTCGGGACAGTTTCAAGCTTTCGATATATTTCAGAAAAGTTACATTTTGTGGAGATTGCTTCGGTATTCAGTTTTCAGAATTGCGACCTTTCGGGGACGTCGTCCCACCGCTCAAATTCGCGATTTTAATTTTTCGGGATTATGTCCGCGCGAACTCTCTCTCGGGCGCGATCTGTCTCATTCGTTCACGGGAAAATATGTGCGATTTGCTTTACGGATTTACCTTTGCAGAGTGCTGTTGCGCGTGCGAATGCTGTATTATATCAAGCACGAGATCATCGGCGACCTGGTGCAGCACATCTCCGACGGCGTTCACGTCAGGTGAGTAGCGCGTAGCCTTGTTCTTCTCACGCTTCTTCGTACCATAAACCTCCGTTACATTCTTCGCCCGAAACCATCTATCACGGATCTCGTGTATACTCACATATGTGCTTACCACGGAGCTTTCATAGTTGCATGTGCAAGATGTATTTGTTGATCCTGGGAGCTGTTCATGTATGAGGAATGCTCATAGAGCCGAGTCACGTTGATCTACGTAGCTCTGTAAAACGACTAGCAATCCGTTTGCTACCCTACGCTACTAATATAAAATCGTTTTCCCATGTCCTGTTTCATACACGCACATACACGTATGATGTATATCACGTATTTTTTATATATATATATATATATATATATATATACTCGCGCGAGAACACAGCAGCGAGAGAGAGACACATACTTGCACGCGGTAAAAAGCGGTCGCGAGGATGGTCAAATCTGCAACAGAGAGAGAAAGAGTGGTAAGGCGTAGGGACTTGTCGTTAAGCAGTGCACTGTAATAAAAAAAAAGGAGAGGAACAGTAGTGATGACGAAACGTACGGTTTTAAAGATTCGAGAGCCCGGACGTTTATGTGTGTCGTCACGGCATATATACTTTGGCAAATTTCCCGTGAGGACAAGCAACGGGGTGTCTACTGCCTGGAAAAACCTGGAAAACCTGCAATTCTCAGGGAATTTGTGCGTGAAAAAAATTAAGGAATTTGAAATAAACATTTTGACCTATATTATCGCAACGTTCATAGACAAATATCGTGTGGTTGACTGAATTTTATTTAATAATATTTTTTTCTTTCAAAAATCATAAAGTAGTAAAAATAGCTCAGGATTTTTCAAATTATGATTAATTATTAATATTGAAGACCACGATTTAATTTATAATTAATTCTAACTAATAAAGGAATAACGCTAGATAAATCATAGTTGCGAACTTATTGATATTCTGTATATATATATACATTTCAGGTTGTTTTTAAGTTGTCTGTTTAATATTTAAATATGAGCGGTTCTCTTATATTTATAATAGGTTCTCTTTTGTTCTATATTTACGTATATAATTTAAACGTTTAACTATATTGATCTGATGTTTAGAGCGCACCGATTTTACGACTAATCTGATATTCAGTATTGAAGACCACGATTTCACGTTAGATGCAATTTTGTTTAATTAAGACGGATATATGCTTATTTTAACAGTTTTATAAAATAGTTGCATTTTATACCAGTTGTGCATTACATAATTTTTTGTTAGTGATTTTTTAAGGTAAAATTTGAAAATTTACGCGATATAAAATACCCGTATTTTAGAATCCTTACAGTTTCTTTGAAAAAAATTTTAAGTTTAGTCATTGAAACTCAAGTGATTCTTAATTTTACTTAACGATTTATAAACTTTTATGAATGGAAAATATTAAGGACTTTGCACACAACAAATATATATCTACTTGCAAAATACGTTTAAAAATATTTTCCTTTTATCCGGGATTTTCAACAAGTTGCCTGGAGAATCAGGGAATTCTCAGGGAATTTGTTTTTGGGTCTGAGTAGACACCCTGAGCAAGCGCACCATGTATTGTGCGCGCGTGCTCCATCTCGTCCAAGACAGAGATCCGGAGTGAGATATAATTGTCTCTCTTGAGAGAAAGAAAGAGAGAGAGAAAGAGGAATCTCCGAATAATTTTACAGAAATTTTTTTCAAATTGTATCTCAATACACACTGATCGGCACGCAGAATAAATTGGCAAATCTGTAAATGAAACCGCCCTACAGTGCGTTGCCGATAGACCCTCCACAATTGACGGATCGACCGGCGAAATGGTGGGATTCGACAGCAGATAAATCCTTAATAGTCGGCTGCTACAAACACGGCTATGAGAATTACGACCAGATGAGGACTGATCCCGCGCTTTCTTTCATTACAAGCTGTCCTCCCCCTTCCCAGTCTCAGAGAAAGAGTGTCGAGTGAGTACCTTAGTATTTTTTTTCTCTCTTTTTATACGTCATTTGTTTATTTCTCTCTCTCTCTCTCTCTCTTTCTCTCTCTTTCTCGTTTTATATCTCTCTTTCTCTCTCTCTTTCTTTCTTTCTCTATCTCTATCTTTCTCTCTCTCTATCTCTTTCTCTATATATCGTCTCCTTTGCGCTGCTAACTGTCCTAACATATGCTGCTTGCATCGCTTTCTATATATACGCTTATACGGTCATAGCTTTTATTTTCAGCAGCGGAATGGCGCGTATATAATGTTCATTTTTACACGCATACTCGCTAACGTCTTTCGAATATCTTCGCGAAGTATCACTCGCAGCGGGAAAATTATGAGAGAGAGTGAGAGAGAGAGAGAGAGAGAGAGAGAGAGAGAGAGAGAGAGAGAGAGGATCTATAACCAAGAAAGACGCAGAGAGACGATAGACCGGGGATATAACGGGGGTGTTTTGTATCTTCCCTTTTGTATCTTCAAAGCTCTTCCGTCAGATATTTTATCGCGTACGCGAAAAAGCTTGCGCGCTCGCAAGGCGTCAGAATAGATCACCCGACTTGGCCGCGTCGCTATTTATAATTGACGTTGCGAAACGTTCGAGAAATGAAGTCGATCGGATACAACATTCCTTCCTTTTTTTTTATTATTATTTTTCGCCCCAGTTCTCAAGTCGCAACGCGAGTCGTCGCGGGAATATCGTGCAAAATAGTCTCTCTGAATTATCTGCGCGATAAAAGAGCGTCTTGTTTTCTCTCGTTCGAAGGGAACGCCCGAAGATTATCCGTCACTCCTTTTTATGATCGTCATTAGCGATACAGTATAGACTATTTCCGAAATTGCAGCAGCAGCAGCCGGGACGATAATAGCCTGGAGAACGACGTGGAAGATGGCGAGTCCGCCGGCATGACGAAGGACTCGAAGGACTCCGATAAGTTCAGCCGTGAAACGCCAGCGGATTCTCCCGCCATTTCCAGCAAGGCGGACACCCCGATACCGGAAGCTAGCAGCAGTCACGACGGGAACGACGGTCTCTTGCCGGACGACGAGAAGACCTGGCCCTCCGTGGTGGATCTCAACACGCGATTGCGCCGAGTGATATCTTCCTATCAACGGAGCGTCAGCTCCAAGAAAGAGGACATCAAAGTTATCCCGAAGACCAGCGGCGGCAAGATGGGCATGGAGAGCGAATCAACGCCCATCAATCACACCGGCACGATGCACGAGCCGCCTTTGAACATGCAGGGATGGGATCTGCAACAATTGGCGATGTACCTCCTGGTCGGTGTAATCATCATGATACTTAATCTGCCGTATCATTCGTTTCATTAAGGATGCATCGCCTATGAGCCAAAATAATGAAAATTTTACAAATTTATCGAAAGTTTAACGATAATTCAGAGCCTGGATCAAAGGTTATTTCACTTTAAAGCTCCCGTGTTTCTCACCTTGGCCGTCCTTGTTTGATTATGTTAGAAACGAGAAACTCCATGCCACAATATATTGCGGTAGATACACGGAGATAAGAGAATATATGCGCAAAGTGGCAATCGATTCAGCACACTTGTAAAAATACGCGGACGCTTTCCTTTAACCCGAACAATCGATAAATAGCCGTAAAATTAACCTAACAGAAATCGTGAGAAAAGATAAGTTAAAACGCAAGTTGCATGTTATACTAATTTTCGGCTATTTATTGATGGTTGAAGTTAAAGGAGAGCGTCCGTAAATTTTTAGTGTGCCGAATCGATCACGAGAAAGTGTCATTTTGTGCATATATTCTTTTATCTCTACGTGTACTGCAATATATTTCAGCATATGATTTCTCGCTTCTGTCGTCATGAAGCAAGGGTAGCCATATGGGAGTCTTAAAGGAGGTTGTAAGGTGAAATGAGCTCGATAAAAATTCGATGAAACTTGCACTGTGTACATATGAAAATATTATTCTGTATAACTTATTGCTCTTGCACAATGAGATTGCGGATGGCCGGGCCAAAAGGGAATCCATGGAGGATCCCAGCGGCCAAGCTATTGGAGTATACCCTTCTCGATGGGCAAAAAGACCATCATGAGGCGAATGGAAAAAGAGTATCTTGCCAGATGGAAGTCTGGCGCGTCATTAAGAGAAAGCATCAAGGAAAGCATGTGTCCACTTTAAAGCAATTGTATCGCTGTGTCCGAGCTATCTGGCGATCGTTACCGCAACAATACGCGGGAAATTAAAAGAAAATAATATGTTTATATTTGTAATATTGTGTATACGTCTACTTTAACTTTGTTTCAAATAAACGTTTACTATCTAGGTAGTGAAATAAATGTACAGGGAGCTAATTTTGCTTTATAAATACTACATTTATAAGCGGCTCCGTTGATGCCACTGAAAATACGGTACTTGTAGGCATTACATCCTTGATGTATCACTCGCGGAAGAGAAAGAATGTATCCCGCATCACCCACCACTGATATTACATTTGCAGAAAATGGAGAGAAGAGAGAAGATGGAGGCCATGGTGAAGGAACGAGAACGCACTCGTATCGAGGAGCAGAAGGCAAAATGGACGCGCCGCGAGGAGAGCGAATTCCTGCGGGTGGTATCCACGTACGGCGTCAATTACGACAGAAAGAAGGCTCAATACGACTGGACCAAGTTCAAGAGTATCGCCAGATTCGACAAGAAGACAGACAACGATCTCACGGATTATTACATGTCGTTCCGAGCAATGTGCAAGAAGGTCTGTAACGCGAAGATGAACGAGGACGAAGGTACGTGCATTTACAGCGCGACATCTGGCTGAATTCAATTGTCCACATGTCCGGTGTAGTAATTGAATATATTGAGATTTTACGTAAGTCGTGCGTGCGTGTCAGGTCGCACTTGATTGACGTTGCAAATCTTACAGATATTCCGGTCGACCAACTGAGCCCGGCCAAAGCGAGACAGATACTCGATCGCGTTGACCTCTTGAGCAAGATCCGTGAGGAGATCCTGTCGCACCCGCACCTCGAAGAACGACTGTCGTTGTGCCAACCGTCGGGAGACACCCCAGACTGGTGGCAGCTGGGTAAACACGACAAGGAACTGCTGCTGGGAGCCGCGAAGCACGGCCTCGGTCGCACGGACATAACTATATTGAACGATCCAGATTTCTCGTTCCACAAACTACTCTCGAGAGGCATATACGCGGGCACGCAGACACCGAAGACAATGGACAAGACGTGCGAGAAGGCGATAAAGATCGAGAGCAGGGAGGATATCCTGAAGTTCGACAAGGACGAGATACTCGTCAAATTGGAGAAAGGGGAAGGGACTTTGAAGATCGAGAAGGTCGGGGCGAAGAAGGACAAAGAGAGCGCCGCCGACAAGAAGGCCGCCGAGAACACCGAGTCGGAGAAGAGCCAGGTGGAGCTGACTATCGTGAAAGCTGAGGCCAAGCCCGACGAGAAGTCGATCGGTAACTCGCTGACGATCACCACCGTCACGAAAAGCGGCGGCGCGACGCCGGACGCGGAGAACGTCGCCGTGAAGAGCGAAGAGAAGAGCGAATTGGCGATCGAGCCGGTTAAAAGCGAGACCGCCAAGTCGACTGACGAGAAGGCTACGAAGGAAGCCAATGCGGAGAACACGGAGAGTCCCGTTGTCGTCGAAATGGAAGTGGAAGAGAAGACCTCGGAGAAGGAAGCCAAGGAGGAAGCCGACTCCGCCGAGAAGTCGGAGGAGCCGCAGGCGCAAGACGCGGTGACGGAAACAGCGACCGAGAGAAATGACGCGGACGCTAAAGAGAAGGAGAAGAACGCCGTTGAGAAAAACGTCGAGACTGCCATCGAGCCTGCCGTCGCAGCCGAGGATGACGGCAAGGCGGGCGCAAAGTCGGATAATGCGCCAGCTAAGGAGGAGGCCGAGACACAGGAGGTCAAGAGCACGGACGCGGTTGCCAAGGAGAAAACGAAGGTGTGCCAGATCGAGGATAAGTGCAGTGTCCAGGCCGCGGAGCTGAAGGCGATGTTCCCGGATCTGGAAGTGATACAACCGTTGTCGCGACTGCCGCAGATCGACACGTTCGTTTTGCGAGATAAGACGATGGATTACAACAACGAGCCCACGGTGGTGCAGCTTTTGGCCCACGGCTGCGGCAGCACGTCGATCAAATGGCCGAAGGTAAACCAGCTTCTCCTCTTTTTTTTCTTCTCCGTGCCTGTCACATGACAATTTCATATGATTCATGGGGTTTGTCCTCCTACTCCTGAAATGGCTGCATTACTTCCAGAAGACCGCCTTCCGATATTCACCGCCGGTATTGGAAATCTATAGTTCATGTTACGTGTACTGTAGATTTTCAGTACTGGGTGTCGGAACGTTTTTCTCAAACTAGCGCGGTCAGTTCAAGGGTAGAAAAGAAACCTACGATCCGAGTAAGAAATTGCTATTCGTTGGAGAAACTCGCCTGGCTTGATGCTGACGAAAGAATTAGCTCCTAAGATCCGGTTATTCATTTTTTCGTTAACTTGTGACCCAGACTTTAAGACTGATAATGCAAAAATTGTCTTTCTCCGTTCATTGAGTCGATGGTTTTGTAGCGGTGACTCTTAAAGTTCCAATCATTAACCACGAACGGAGGAACAATTTTTATCATCAGGTTAATAAGCCTAAATCGCACGTTAAACACAGGTTGAGAAAATGAAAAACCAGGCTTTTAACGGAGGAAAGTCTCAGCCGTAATAAAGCGCAGCACGGTCTAAACATTTGATTCACCCGATCACGCGCGAACCGGGTCTTATCGTTACTCTCGCTAATCTCGTCACATTTTTGTTTTTTCCAGGAACACGCGATCGAGGCTCGTTTGATGCACATTGTGCACGCGATCGAGCACAAGGAATGGCCCGTGTCGGTGAACTTCAGCGCTGGCGAAGAGCTGGAGGTCACCCCGAGCGAGAAGGAATGTTCGGAGGTGATAACGATCACCACGGACCACGGGATGTCCAGATCCATATCGAGCGGCAACAACATCTCCGCCTCGAAGAAGCGCAAGAGACACATCGCCATCGACGTGGAAACCGAACGAGGTGATCGATCATTACCGTAACTCGTTTTCAACGGGCTATACGGATTATACGCGCCCGATTGCTATTAATTACACACGTTGCGCCTGTTTGTAATGACATCACTCGTGTCTCATTATCACGCAGCCAAGCTTCACGCGCTTCTCAATAGCAGTCATTTGAGCACACCGTCACCAGCACCTCTCAGCAAGCCAGTTGTGCTCTCTGGCTCGACTACTTGGGAGCTCAATGACGAGTCCCAGTCGGAGGAGTCACGACGTTCCACGCCGGTGGTCCAGCCGCCTCCGGCGCACCAGCCGACGCGAACACCGAATATACCCTTCGATCTGAAGTACACCGTCCCGGGGAAAACGACCGTCATACCCGGCACATCGAGCACATTGACGCCCATCGACTTATCTGCCGGGTGAGACGCTCGATGAAATATGACGAATGATCGAATTATAATTGCTCATAGTGTGTGTGTGTGTGCGTGTGTTAACATCATTGCGGATATCTTCCGAGAAACGTCGCGATGATCGCATTCATCTTTCAGATATCCCAAGTCAAGCTCGGACAGTAACATTATAAAAGACATGAATAAAGACATTATGAACGAGGTGCAGGACTTCTCTATGCCGAACAAGAATAAACAAGTCAGTAGCAACAAAGGAAAGTTGGATAGTATGCTGGACAAGCTCATGAAGAGGAAGTCATGCGTGAGTGATTTTTGTAACTCCGTGCGCGCGCCGCGTTTCCTCTTCTCCGGTATCACGTTTTAAGATTCCTGTGCGCTCGTCGCAGCCATCTTGTCGTATGACATCGGAGGCGAGGGAGCCCGGAATTCTTGCGATATACGTCCGAGTAAGAAGATTAAAATTTTTCAAAGATCAGAATCAGATTCAACAGATCGAAAACTAAAAAGAAAAAAAAAAGAAAAACATTCGAGCGTTCAATCGCAAGAATTCCGGGCGCAAGTTTTCTCACTGCTGACGTCATAAAACAAGATGACTGCGGGAGGAGGGCAGGAGCCGTGAGATCGACGTGAATTCTTCAATGTGTGCGATTTATTCCTCAGCCAACGGAGGAACCAGTGATCGGAAAAGAGAAGAAACGCAGGAAGTTGGACGAAATAGTATTAGGCCTCAGCGCGGCGAAGGAGCAGCAGAGCAGCCATTATCCCGAGCACAGTAAGAAAAATACGATCACGCCTAACGTGACCGTGACCCCGACATCGGCGCCGATCGGGCTTCCGAATCCTCCCACGAGCGCCCAGAAGCCGTTCTCCATCACCGTTACGTCTATTCCATCGTCGCGCGCGTCGAGTTCGAACAATCCTGTCTTGCCACCGCCGTCACTGCACTCGCACAAGGACAGCTTCTCCGCTCTACTCGCACAGGCGGAGCAGTCTCGGGAGCTGAAGAAACAACAACAGCAACAACAGCAGCAGCAGCAGCAGCATCAACAACAGCAGCAGCAGCAAGCGGCGTTCAACTCGGCGCACCCGTCTTCTTCCAGCGGTCATAGAAAGAACTACGAGGCGATGATCGCCGATATCAACAAGGTCGCCGAGTATTCGTCCAAGATCGGCTCCTACTCGCACGAAGCGAAGGTGAACAAGTGGCTGGCGGATCAGACAGCCATGTCGGCGGAACAACTGAGCGCGGAGTATCTGAGTGCGCCCAGACGACGAAGACCGCGCGTCGATCCGTCTCTGTTGGATTGGAAGAAGCTCACCGGCGAAGAGAACGTCGCGGTCATCAATCGATTAACTGGCAAGAAGGTATGTGAATTTTAATCAACAATTATATTCGGTTAGTTTTTAACTATAACTAAGAGTTTATAGCGGTTCGGGAGAAGAACGAAAGGGGAAAGGAGCCGTCCATTCTTATCAAGTTTTATTCATTCTTGTGAATTCAAATTGATTTGGGTTGACGATCAAGAGTTTCTTCCGTTTTTTAATCAGCTCTTCGCTCAGAAATCCTAGAATTTCTGCGAACGTGGAGTCACCGACGTGAGTTTGTCGCACGTTGTCTCTCGAAGACGGGAGAATCGTAGACGATCTTTCGTTTTCTCATAACACTTTGGCGGGATGCATTGATTCACCTGTTATATTAGATCTTAACGGAATTGTGGTTTCTGGGAAGATTCTCAGAAGATGTCCGATATTCTCGCGTCACTGTACTTAATACGGCAAGTTTTCATTGTAAACAGAATTTGTATACCGGCCACATGAACTCGATCGTCGGGCTCGAAATCGTTCTCTCTGAATGTCCTGCTTCTCTCATCGCAGGTAACCGGCAGCAAAGCGCCCCAACTGAAGCGTCTGGGCCAATGGCTCATCGAGAATCCGATGTTCGACGTGGACCCCAAGTGGGCGGAGCTCGTGAAGGAGCGCGGCAATCTACCGCACGATTTGCAGAAACGGCTGCCGGGCAATGACCGGGGCGGCGTGAACAAGGGCAAGAGTCCCGGCAGACCGCCCATGATGCCGAGTCCCACGAGTGCGCAGCAGTCGGCGAATCCCGCCAACCTGGCGGCCACGTCGATGGCGTCGGGTCTAAACTTCCCGTCACTGGGCAACCTCAACAGCTCGCTACTGTCGGGCCTCTCGCTCGGCAACTTCGACCCGAAGAACAATCCGCTGCTGATGCCGTTCGGCGGCCTGCCGAATCTCGGCGCCCTGAGCGGCCTCGGCAACCTGGGCAATCTCAGCAACATGACCCTGACGAATTCGCTGTTCGCCAATCTGGCCGGCCTCGGCCTGCCCTCGTTGGCGGGCATGGAGGCGGCCTTGAGCGCGACCGCGGCGGCGGCGTCGACCAGCGGCGCGGACGCGAGCAATCCGCCCGTGAGCTCGTCCGGCGGCGGGGGCGGTGGTGGCAAGAGCGGCGGGGCCGGTTCGTCCGGTATGAGCAACAGCGGTGGCGGCAAGTCGCGCAGCAGCAAACTGGACCAGCCGAGCACGAGCGGCAAGTCCTCGGTGCCGTCTACTTCGTCCGGCTCCTCATCGGGCCTACCGACCACCACGCCATTCCCCTTCTTCTTCCCAAACCCCGGCCTCCTCTACACGCCGCTGGGCCTAGGCGGCCTTAACCCGTTCTCCATGCAGCCCGGTAGCGTGTCGTCGGCCTACGAGAGCCTCGCCCAATGCGGCCTCTTGAACCCACCGACTTCTTCGGCGACCACATCCTCGGTGCGCAAACCCGCCTCGTCGACGAGCGGCNAAACCCGCCTCGTCGACGAGCGGCTCGAGGCAACGAGAGACCGTAGAGACCTCGTCGTCGTCTTCCTCTTCGTCCTCGGCGAAGCGGAAGGAGCCTGAGAAAAAGTCGTCGAGGTATTCCGTAGATCCAGCCGTCACCCTGCAGCAGTACACGGATCTGGCGGCGTTGCACGGCGCTGAGGACAGACGTCGTGTCGAGCAGCAGCAGCAGCACGAGAAGAGGGAAACCGCGATCGCGGAGCCGGCCGATCTAATGATAGCCGATCTTTCGGAGAAGAAGATCGAGAAGATCGAACGCAAAAGCAAAGAGCAGGAGATGAAGGAGGCGCTCGAGCACCTGAGCAGGACGAGCGCCGAGCTGGTGACGCGGAACATCGAGGACACGGGCCCGCGAGTGAGCGAGAAGAGGAGCCGCGGCAACACGGACGCCGGCCAGAGTACCGAGCAGCCGCAATCGACGCCGCTGCCTCTCGAAGTGACTCTGGAGCCCGTGGCGAAGAAGTCGCGGAACACCGAGGCCGCCACGGACGCCAAGTCCACGGCGAACAACGACACACCGACGATAGAGATTGAGCCCGTGGCGAGGTCCTCCTTGCCGACGACGCCGGCGAAGGCCGCGGCGCAGCCCTCTCAGGAGGAAGCCGGCGTCGCCTCGTCGTTGGAGGCTCCAGCGAGCAAAAAGGAGGCTAACAACGAGACGACGGCGGCAACGACGGCAACATCGTCGCCGATCGCGAACACGACGTCCGCTCCGTGTTCCAGCGGCGGGCCGGCGGCGAAGGCGGCCGACGGCAGCAAGACCACCGCGTCGGAAGTCGAGGAGGATAGCAAAGGCGGCACCAAGGGCAAGAAGGCCCGCAGCGGCAAGCGGTTGAGCGCGGAGCCTCCTCCTGAGCGCAAGAATCTCCGCTCCAGCGCCGGCAGACAAGCACGGGCGGCCGCGGAACGACAGGCACGAATGGAGGGCGAGATGCACTCCTCCGAGCAGCAGCAGCAGCAGCAACAGGACGGTCACACGGCTGGCGAGTGAGTCGTGGCCGTGAGGGTTCGTCGAACCACCGCGGCAAAACGGCGATAATATCCACGTTCGACGAGGGGGGCAGGAGGAGGAGGAGGAGGCATGAGCGAGAGAGATTTCCGAGATAATGACGACGTTGACGCTGCTGCAGATTGTTGTTCACGATTTTCTTTTTTTTTCTATTCCACTGACTCGACACTGCTCGCACAACGAAGATCTGGATGTAAGATATAATTCCCTGTTCGCCGTTGGCGCTGAAACCGAAAGCGGAAGCCATAAGAGAAAGAGAGAGGGAGAGAGAAAACAAGTGTGTATGTTAGTTTCTGAACGGATCGTCGACGGAGCACAAGTGTTAAGTGAGAAGGGGAGCCTCTGCAAACATTGGTACAAGAAGCATACTTCGCCCCGTAGAGTCCCTTTTCTTCGGTTCTCGATAGTGAATGTGATGTGTGTGTGTGTGTGTCGCTTCACGCACGCGCGTACGCGTGAACGAGTTAAACGGAACTCCTTCGTGCCACGGGAGATGTAATGCGTATTATTCTCATTCGACGACGGAGTGTTTGAATGTATTTACCGAGCGTTGCGAAATAAAAACAAAAAAAAATAAAGAAGTTTCTCAATATGAAGGCTGCGATAGTATTTTATCACTCGATAGTTTGCGTGGTGATTAATTTTTAATTGCGTAATATGGTACAGTATATAAGAAAGGTATAGTTTTGTTAAATTTATTATCCTATACTATATCTTATTGGTTTTAAAACAAGAAGGAACTGTTTTATATATAAAAGGAAGAAAAAATTCATGCATTATGAAATTGTGTACTCGCTATTGCGCGCATACAAGGCAAGTTAAGAGCAAGTAACACAAGGCAAGATATAATCCGTAATGTAGAGAAAGTAACTACAGTAATAACTTAATAAAAAGAAGGAACGAAATGAGAAGGCAGGAGTGTAAATAAATACACATTATGCTTAGAAACATTAAGCAACAATGTACTTGGAAAATAAAATGTATATAACGCAATGTACTTTTAATTATACATTAGGTGAAACAATAAACAGCTTCTTTTGTTGTTTGCAAATACCAAGGATAAGACATTTAATTCTTTTCTGGTCAACCTGAGTAAAGAAAGAGGAATTAAATACAGTTCGAGTTTTATGTACCAGAGACTTCGTCGTTCGAAGTCACTTTGAAGACTACATAAGAATCTTATGCGTCGATAGGCTGTGGCACAATTCGCAGGTACGTCTTGCCGGAAGGCAACATCACAGTTTTTATACTGTTGTAGCAAGCTTTAGCTTCGGCGTCCGATATGGTCGGCTGTATCATTACATCATCTCCTTTCTGAAATTCAAATACATTTGCAGAGTGTGTGTAATTTTCTTTTCGTCAGTAAATCATGTCTAAAGTTTTGCTCAACTTTTCAAAGAACATGAAAAGCTTCAATAAGGAAAAATTCAAATTTCTGAAACCCACCTTCCAATCCACGGGAGTTGCTACTTTGTACTTTTCTGTAAGCTGGAGCGACTCAATTACTCTTATTATTTCACTACGAGATAAAGTATAAAATAGTGTTAGATAGTATTTAAATATATGATTTGTATATAGATGAGATGTAACGCTGATGCTTACTCAAAATTGCGACCAGTCGTAGCTGGGTACAAAATTGATAGTCGCATCTTTTTAGCTGGATCGATTATAAACACCGCACGTGCTGACATGGGTAATCCCTGGCCGTCCACCTCCATAGGATCCAACATTCCAAATAACGTAGCCAGTTTCCTGCTTTGATCTTCTATTATTGGATATGGAAATTCTTTGTCCATTAAATCACCGTAACTTCTTATATCCTGGAATTATGTTGTTCCTTAGTATTAATATATTCTAATATTTGCAATGTTCACATGCACGATGAGAACTATAAATTTGACACTTGTCGAGTCAAGTATCATATCTACTTGTAAGAGGAACCATTTATTCCGAGCATACTTCTATCCATTTGTGATGGGAATCAATAGAATTGCAAGATAGTGCGATGACCTTCACTCCCAATCTCTTAAATTCAGGCATCAATTTTGCAACACGTGCTAATTCAGTTGTGCACACTGGTGTGAAGTCATTAGGATGGGAAAACAAGATAGCCCACCTATTTACAGAGATGTGTTATTTGTGAGACATATATATATGTGTATATATATATATATATATATATATATATATATATATATATATATATATATATATATATATAT